ACCATTGCTACATCCACGACCTCTACTGTATAATAGCGTCAACGATCACTTCCACAAAGCTTGAATTGCTCAGATACACCTAAAAAATGTCCCGGGTATCCAGGAAGTTAAGCTACACTGGGTGTATGAACTTGAGCATCAGTATTGTCACCCTGAATGCCTTGTCACGATTTCCATATAGCATCCTGTTAGAGCTTCATGAAATATCATCGCATTTTGAACACAGAAGTATCGCTAAAAGCTATCAACTGCGACTAGAGCATATCGTAATGATACTTGGATCGTAAACTTTGACGGAAGTTAAAATTTTGCAAAGAATTACCGCCCTGTATTCACATATGAGTGCTAAATATACTGAGCTTCACCATACAACCACATTTGTTCAGTGTGAATGCAATTAGTAGTTGTCAATTTCTTTTATGCTCTTATGATGCCGAACAGTTAGCGTAAATACGGACATCGCCGGTTCTTGCAATAGACGAGAGCCCATTGTGATGATACTGATTTATCTAAGTTTATCAGGATAACGAAGCTTTCAAATTAACTCGTTATGCCCTAACTTCAATAATTTCTTGCGCCATCGCATCCAAAGGCTTAAAACGACTGGGTTTGTGATCACAGAAGTGGTCACGGAAAACTCATAGTGAAAAGTTTATCGTTAAATGCGACTTTTTCCGTATGATTTTTTCGAAAAGTCAACTCTTTAAGATTAGGCTCTCTAAAGGCAAAGAGCTAACGAAGATGACTTACCAAAATGTTAAAATTAACGTCCGAATTATGTAAAACGAGAACTGGATATTTCATTTTGAGTTTGTATATGTACCGATTTTCTGAGGCAAATGAAAGGTAACGGCTGCAAATGTTATTGCTCGTTGTGTAAACCATGGATGGCGTTTCCTCGTGTAAACATTCACAACAAATTGGTGTGGTTTATTAAAACTAGCAGAATAGAACTAGAATAATTGCAGATCTAAGCTACAAATAATGCAAAGAGCTACTGTTACCACTATTCTCTATTAACAGAAAGTATATAACATCCTTTTATCAAAAATTACCCAACTTAAGGTTCTTAAAAATAAATAAAGCCAAGCAGTCGACGATCACAGTCCTCAATGGCATTTAGATTTGTTGACAAACCAAAAGCCAGACATAAGCGGTGGAACTATCACGTCTGATTCGCTGTCTGCATTCCGCGCGCTACTTGAAGACAATCTAATAAAGGTTTCAGCCAAACTATATCGGTCATTTCAACAGAAAGTTGCAGAAAATCTGTCGGGAGTGCGATGACGTCACTAAACAGGGAAAAAAGCGGGTCACTTCCAATATCTTCCCTTTAAGGTTTAAGTCACCAGTTCTCCCTTGGATTCCTTTCCGTTTGCTAGCTCGTGCGTCGTTTTCCCTTCTTCGACCCTGAAATAAAAAAACCTGCCGCTTTCTACCCCTCCAGCCGCTTTATGCACCTATTTCACCGTTGGACGTAGAAAGCAAAAAGATAACGCGTCGTGTTTAAATAATATTATAAATTTTGCTGGCAATAATAGAGCACTTCAACAATCAACGATTTGCAGACGGCAAACTTAGGTCAGATGGAAAATACCATTATTATTCATCATGATAGCAAAAAATCTTAGCCAGTAATATAAGGCCGATAGCCGTTTTATAAATTATTTTTGATTATGGCTCAACTTAATCATCACAAAACTAAAACTAACGTGTTGCAAAAATAAACAGATGCTGTTTCATCTGATATTGTTATCGCGATGCACTCAAAATGTGGTTCACATAGCGAATTGGTCAGATATATAACCATTTCCTATTCACAGAAAATGTATAGCGCATGCGTGTTCTTGGCGGGACTGAGTATATGTATGTACCAAATTGTGTATACCAGATTTGGCCTGCCCTATTTGCCGCCCATTGCGACCATGATTTGCACTCCGTAGCGAAATGCCACTATATTGCTAGCGATATAATGCACATGGCCCTCCTTGAACACATCATACGTATATATCATGGTAGGTATTATCGATCTTGCTCAGATCCAGTTCTATTTAGTTTATCTCAAAATATCATTAGCCAAAATTTTGAAAAACTTGCTATAACTGCTCCAGCTACGTATCGACCAATTTACTGTCAACATCGAGGTAGACGGCTAACCCAGTAACATTTATCCAGATATGATTGATAACACTGCAAGCGTACTGCTAAGTCCTCAGCCCGGAATAAGGCGGGCTACACCGTACAGGTCTGACCGTTCGAATATTACGAAGTGGATGGAACTCGTCATGCGACAATCTAACAAGAATATTATGCGCCCTATTTGTGATGTAATGACAAACAAATTACGATAATAGCAGTGGTAGTGGCCCGCTACTGTCGGTTGTATATTCGCCATGGCTTTATGAAAAAATTGTATCTATTGCTCATCTGCATTGGCCTAGCTACGGCAGTCATGAGTGTATTCTAACGTTTTTCCCCTAACGAGCTGTGCGCACCGCAGCGTATGCCACAGCGCCTTTGGAGCGCAGACCTTTTCTCGTTTATAACAACGCACTATGCTCGCCTCACTCTTCTCATTAAGTACATGAATTAATGTGAACTTACATAAAACAACACGAAATATAGAACGAAGCAGATACAAAGGCCAAATAATGAAGGACCTATATACATAATTATTTTATTGTGAACACAGGTAACTAAACCATAGTTAACTATTAAGAATATAATTTGTTTATTTAATCGTTATTGGCCTTTGTCTACGTATAAACTTGAAAACTGGAAGAATTTCAGTACAATTTAATATTTTTCGCTGCAAAAACGAACACTGTGGTAACATTTTATGTGTCAAAATCAGTGACTTTTTTCTATAGCTTCTAAAAATCTATTAATTCTCCTTTCTATAGCGTTTAAATTGATTCATAATCGGTAACTACCAATCCTCAAATAATGGCCGGATGAGATATCATCACGTGCATAGCCAGTCGAAAGTTTTTAGGGATTAACGCCAGATGGAACATGATCAGTATACCAAGAAGGCTTCTTCTACCAATGATTGACCGCGGAACGTATTGACTATGTTGATTATATTATCCCAGCTTCATTTTGCATGTTAAATTCTACCGCCTCATTGAAGCTATGCTTCAGGAAGAGAACTAGTGATAGCATATATATAGACGCGTCCGCTACATAAAAATAATCTCTTCATTTTTGATTATTTTACCATAACAAACAATAAGATTAGACATTTTTAAGTAAGGATTTTCCAAAAATCATGAACTGTCTTTGAAAGAGAAAAACACGCGTTCATATTTTGAATGCCATAAGATGTCAGTAAACACTTCATAACAGAAACCTTATTATTATCACAAATATCACAATACACTAACGCTTTCAACATATTTCTGATAATTGCTAAAGTTGCGAGGTAGGAAAGAATAATCAAGTTACATATCGAACATGTTCGTGGAAAACACGCCCGGCTCGACACTAGACGTAGCATTTCTATCCATACATGAAATGGAAGTGATTAGTATGTTATTAAATTCAATACCATTGGTACATTTATATGAATAAGGTTTTGTTATAATGCATAACAGTGTTTAAATTAATATCTTTAGCATCAAATTTCGTTATTCAGTATTATTCTTTTGTTAGGCGTATCCGTATGATCATCACCATGTTGATTTAAATGGCACGAACAATGTCTTGCTGGGCAGCTATTAAGCACTGAATAGTTTGCTTTGGATCACTACTATTACTTACTTTAATCAGTTCACATTGGAGAAAAGATCTAATTGGTGAATGTAAAAGTGCCGTTAATATTTAATTGTTAATTGTCATCACATACATTTGTAAATTAATAATAGCAAATCATAATTATTGTGCTACATCACTGTCGCCAGAAGTAGGCAGTGTCTGCTAAGCGCAACTTATTGTCCTAGTTTTTGTAAGTGGCTTTTGCTTTTATGCCTGCAGAAGTAACGGTGACCCATGATAAATAATTCTTATAACAAAATGATTCGACTGAATCGAAAAGTTAAAAAAAAACATGCCTTTCTAACGATGGTGGTATTTATTTGTAGCAATTGATATGAAATGAGGCTTCCTTAATATGAATAATCGTCAAAAGAAGTAGAGGTATGTTCAAAGCCAAAACAACCTTAAAGCGCAAACGTTTAAAACGGAAACGGTGTTCCGTATTATATTTATTCTGTTTAAATACTGATCAGTCTAATACCAGTGCTCAGCCAGCATTAACTTTCTGAATTCTAATGACCCTTAACAGGTGATTGCATCCACATGCCATCTCAATTTTTTAACTTAATCTACTTCTGTATCTGCCAGTACTGCACCATGAAATTCCCGCAGCTGAGTACAAATGCGATTCAGCAAAACTTCTCCATTTAAACTATTGCCTTTCTATAAAGAAAAGAAATACACGTTAAAATTAAATTCGCCCTGAGTGAAAGTGCTTGAATACTGCCATCACTTTTTCGCCATTGGCACGCATCACTTTGTATGGCATCTCTTTGGTGTCCCATTCTGATCTGTCCTGGTAACCGCCCTTGAGTGCCGCTAGCACGTGCTCTGTCACTATTCGATACTATTATGACATAACTTGCCGTAAAGCAAATGTTTTCCATTAAGTTCATCATTATCATCTTTATTATAATAAATCATATTCTTCCAACGCTGCAAACCTATCTGGGATCTTTGCCTAGCCTTAACCATTTGCCAGCACATTTCCAGCAATTACTGTTAAATCACTAACAATTTTAGCAATAACAGCTGTTGGTGTGGCAGTCGCAAATGGTGATAGTGATGGCGACGGATCGCAACAATCACACATGGCAGAATATCGTTGACTGAATCGTCAAAATGAAGAATTACCTACAACAGCACCATCCAGTCGAGATGAACGGAGCTAGAAGGCGCAGCGAACAAAGCACCTTACACAGTCACAGGCGAGGCTTAATAAAAAATGCAGACAAACGACCCACCTTGAGATATCGATTTGAATGTTGTTCCGCCATGGTATTATCGATGTTTCTTTTTCCTTTTGCTACCGATTGGCTTTTTGTTTTTCCGTCTGATCACCCACCCGTCCGCTCTTCTCCGCCCTGACGAAGTCCATTCACTAGTCATCTCGTCGATCGCATTCAGTTCTGACACAGTTCGCAGGTCACCCACTTCAACAGCCGCAAACAAGAACATCGCCAAATGGTGTCACAGCTTCAGCTAAGCATTACTAATACCTTCCTTGATACTACGAAGCAGTACTACTAGGCTTCTGATTCTGAGAACGAAGAGAGCACAGCCACAGTGCAGTCAGTGCAATCACTCAAGCGCCGAGCCACTGCTACACTGGAGGCGGCAGCGCGGAAGATGACAGTCCCCGGACGTAGACGTGGAGAAAGCGAAAAACCACAATCATTTTCGAGAAAAACAGGCAAAATCTTCCACTCCTTCAGACGAGCTGTTGCCGTCATTGCTGCTGCCCTCTGGGTCTGTTTAGTTGGTGGCCATTACAACTGCTACTGCTTCTAGTAAATGGACGATGGTCCGTTCCAGGGTAAATCTACAACTTCTCTGCCTGCTACCTCTGCGAATGCTACTACAACTACCTACCGCTACTGCTGCAGCTGCAACTAGCAGAGGTAGGGGTGGAACCATCGGGATAATCATCAGAAACATTCAACGTCGGCTTTGCTCGTTATTATGGCATAGTAAGGGTCAGTAGCAAAAACACTTCGGCAACAAGTAGCGGCATTTGGCCATACACGCTTTCAGAAATCCAGAGACCTAAACCAGTCGCTAGGACAAGCCTGGTCGGGGCACATAAAGCCACTAGCGATTATGTGAACCCCGAACATCTGCAAGCTTTTCCAGCGTCGATCGCATGGCCCTACGGCGACGTTCATCAAATAAGTATGCTATTGAGATACGGCTGATAAGGTGAGGACAACAGCGATCATGTATTTCTGGTAATCTGTTCTTCCATATCAGTTTATTGTGTTGTCACTGTCGTTTATTTGGTATTGCTTCCAGTCTCCACTGCTAATATTCAAATGCTTATGCCTTTCGGGTTTTGGCTGATGGTCAGTGAGTGAGCGATAGAGGAACCGCGCGTGCCAGGAAAAGCAGCAATTGCTGATGGCCTAGACAGTTCATGGCAGGACGCCGTCGTCGATGGGAAACTACGAACTACTTTGAGTCTAATCCTGATCTCCACATCGACTGCTTGATGGTTCGTCGGGACAGATCGAGCCAGCGGCAATCAGGATAGCACACTTACTCCTTGCACAGACTCGCAAAATTAATCCAAACGAATTTGATGCACTTGTGCATGCTGAAGAATGAACCATGCAGCTGTATGTTGTAATGACCAACAACATACGCAAATTTTGAAGAAAACGTTATAGAGAAGCTACCTAGCACTACGAGATCGGTAGCATTGGAGCTCCTGCATCTAATGTACGTAGACGACTCAGTTTCAAGACGACTACAACAGCGTGCAGTATATTTTCGACGTGTTGTCCTTGGTTGTTTATTGTTTGTAACATCAAAACACTCAATACCACGTGCCATTACGCTTCGCTTCTCTCCTTTTCTACCACTATTAGATAAAAGTAATAATAATGGTACATACTTGAGATAAGAACCATCTCGGTGACGCACCACACTAATTTTTAGGGGTGAACGGTGACTGCCTTTCACTTCGTTCGGTAACAAAGGCTTAACTTATTCCGTTCACCTACATCTCATGCTTTGTCGATTGCAATAGTTCTGTTAATAAATATCAGATATAATTTTCGGGGCATTAATTCAACCAAGCAGTGATAATGAACATCGCAAAAATATTTATTACTGATGAAAATCAATGCGTTTCTTCTACATTATTTATTACATGTTCATCATCTGCTTACGCTCAAACAGCCCAATATTTCACTATTTTTTTTTTTTTCGTAGGTGGCAACATAGGCCTGTCGCATATTTTTCGCATTCCTACGTCCCTTTTTTGCTGCATTTTAACTCAAATAGCTTCCGCCAACTGGGCAAGTCGATGGCGCCAGTGGGTGCAAGTTTCGAATACGATGCGAGAAATAACAACACAGCTTATCCAGCCTAGAAGAATGCGAGCGTGTACACGGTGATCAAAGAGCAGTAATGCCGTCCTCGTTAGCAAAGCCAGGCAAAACTGTGCGTCCAACTGTCAAACGGCCGCGTAGATTAAACAATAACTACACCACAACTCTGATCAGAAAGACTAGAAGCGGCAGAAATCGTTGGGAACTAAAAGTCCGTTCTAAATAACTCGACACGCGATTCTTTTCACTCGAACAGTAGCGTTCTACGCGTTATGGTGCTAGTGGTACTCGACATTGTTGCTGTAGTCTTTGACACTCTGAGCTTTATCTGTTCAAATGCCACACACAGTTAAGAAAGCTTATGAGTAGAGTGACCATGCTGCGCTCATGGCGGTGCGACTCGCGCAAGATGATCGCTCTATCGTCGCAGAGCACAAACGCTACGATGTTTTTGAGCGTTGACCTGCTTCATATCGTACAAGTAGATTAACACGGTCCGACGTTTTATAAACTAGACACCCACCGATGCTTAGGAGAATCTCATTTACATCTAACCATACACAGACATTTTGATTATGGCAACTACGGGCTAACACTGGAAGAAAAAAAATAACCGAGTAAGGTACGAATATATGTTTACAAGTACAGAATGTACGAACCGAAGAATTCGTTTCGTTAGTATCAGAAAAAGAAAACCGAAAATAATAAGCTCCGACGTCAGGGTAAGTCATACGCATCTGTGTACGCCCTATCGCAGCGACACATCAAAACGTGCACAGCCGTTGACACAGATAACAACTAAAGCAATTGCGAGCATAAGTACGTGAGGAAACATTTACATCTATGGCCGATGACCGTTAATACTTCCGAGTGATAACATCGTAAACACTCCGGAGGTACTAAACAATCCCAAAAACCTGCTGTGGTTATTAGATGGGAGAGTATATGTAAATATGTGTACATTACGTACAGCCTAAAATGGCTCCATCGCTCCTCCCAACCGCAACAGGTTCTTTCCGTGCCTGATTTTCCGCGACACTTTCATCTTTACTCGCACTACTGCCTCCTGTCCTAAAAATAAATTGTGATTATGAGGCACTGCTCATCACCCATACGCCTATCATATCTCTGGTTAAAAAAGCACTGGTCTTCATAATTTCCTATACAATATTGCATTGTGCTAGCAGATGCAGTCGGGTAAAGACAATAAGCGCAAGGGCCTGCTTTTTGCCTCAGCACTGTAGCACTTCGACTGGCTTACTGCTCCGTTAGAACACACACAGTCACTTCCTCAAAAGTCAACGTTTCAACGTACTGGAGAATATGGTGTTATAACTCAACAGTTTTCTAATAAGCTTCTATAAGTCACACATATTTAGCTCGACAACTCAGAATCAACGAGACACTTATGTAACGTAGACGACGACGATCAAAACAACGTCCACCAATATTATCAATAAGCCTATCTTTAAAACACAGCGCGAGCGACTTCCGCCCCAGCTGCAGTCGCAGCGGAAACGAACTGCGTACTCACCTCCAGCTGACCATCAGATGCAAACACAACATGAACCGTAGTGTCAGTGCAGCAGGGGTACAGGAATCTCCTGGGATGTCTATCAAATACTTCTTTGCCAAAAAACGAAACAAAGCATCAACCAAATGTTCCTGGACCAAATCAAAGCTCTGAATTCAACCACCCTGTTTCCCTTCTCTGCGCCAAAGTTTCCGTACTGCTAACTTGTTTTATCCCTTTTATAATTCGAAAAAATAAGCGAACAAGTAAATTTGATTATCAAGAGATGTACCTCACGCCGTTCAAAATATCGTGGAAAAAGAAGCGCAATGACTATATAATCAACATATCCAATAGGACTCAATTACTTACTGCGTTATATAGCAATAATCATGCAACTTTATTTTGTAACTGCAGCTCTACCTATAACGAAATTCGGTTTCACAATCATTGCTACCTACTCTCCTTCTAACGGGATGCATGCAGTGCTATTCCGTTTAAGCTTACTTTGCAGGAGCTAGACAGGGTCTGCGGTCACGCAGTTACTGAGTAAGACTGTTCGTTCCTGCTTCATTCGATGCGACCTGCCGTCCTTCGGCACAGAAGAACAACTGGGGTGAGCTGCCCAGTTTCAGAGTACTATACAGTCCACCTGATCACTTCACTCCACACACTCACTAGGTTGAGCGAGATTCGCTCAAAACCAACTAAGAAATAGGCCAAACCAAACCCTCACGCATAGAACACACTCACGTACATATAGAGTAGAAGACTCTCTGTTACTACCATCCCACGGAAGCAATGCTTATTCCTACGCGCCTCTTCCATCAGACAGCAGCTCAGTCTGTGGCATTCGCACAGCACCTAGTTGTAACATCGATTAATATCTCATGGATCCGGTAGTTACAATTGCATTAATAGCATATATATATATATATTCTATTCATTTCTTCGGTTTTAGTTTCACGGGCGTTAGTTAACTAGGTTTGCCCCTGAGCGGCGAGTGCATGCAGCGCGGCCAAGCCAACTTAATCAGGTTGTCCGTAGCCCTCGTCCTTGATAGATTTACTGCCCGTTTATATGTGCTCTGAAGAGCTACAGTGGCTGCGCTTTGCACTTTTAGATCAGCTTTAGCTGAAGCAGTTCGGAGCCATTTTGTAAATATGCTCACCAGCTAGCATACTAATGATAATAGGATTTTTCATCTGTGAGCAGTAAGGCAATTGCCCGAAAACCAATAGGGGATACGAAAGAAGGTTGGGTGGGTGTGTGGTACGAAAGGCGGGAAAATTCGATTGCAGAAACGGACCAAAGTAGAGGAGTGAGGCCAGGTATCGGAAAGAGGGAAAACTGTGACGTCCTGGCTAACGACAACTATTAGATTATATACACATCAGTTAGGTTTACTATTGCAGTCTGCGTGGCGTCTGGGCATAATGAAATTACAGTGAATGGGTCGCTAATTTATTTTTGATTCCGGTGTGCGAAACACATATATACATATGTAGCATTTTATAACACATTTTGCATTACATATTATTTGTGAACGCTGTATCAATAACTGTGGAAAATATAACGGAAAATTGAGTGTGCTTGCTCTGTTATAATAAGTGTGAATGCTCCTATATTTTGTTGCTTGATGATGCGACGGTTGTCGTTAAATCGATAATAGATAGAGAATATGAGTCGTTGAAAATGAAAAAAACTTAGCTGACTCGGGTTTTCTCTTAGACGGTACGCAATATTTGTTAGCAGTGTAGCAGAATTTTGACAGTACTGACATTACGTGAGCCGTTTTGGAATTCATCTTCGCCGATATTTTCGGTATTCAGTGCTTTGGAACTAATCCTTCGTGGGTCCAGTTATTAAAGTGGAGCTACAATTAGTGGAGCATTAGAGTTTGTGTGAAGCAATGTTTAGCAAGGCAGCTCTAGCGTCAAAATTCGAAAGACTAACTTTAATCGAAAATAATACAATGATTTTAACCTGCGAATACAGTATATATCTACCCTTTTAATCGAAATAAGGTATGTAATTTCAATGGAGAGCGGTCACCCAGCACCGACGTACCGAATATTCCGTTAAAACGAGTTCTATTCTGCGAAACTGGCTAATACGTTCTGCACAGTTAAAACTAATTTGTCAAAAAATGTTCCTCTCAGGCATAGCCCCCATCGAATTGTTTAGTTAGCTGCTTTGTTATGCTTTACTTATGCGTAACCTAGCAACGACCAAATACTTTCCCAGACAATATTTTAAATGACGGATGACAAAATGTACAACTCCAGACAGGTCCAATTTTACAATCGAGTCGAATCCGTACATAGATGGATCTTCTGTTAGAAATTCAATGGAAGTTGGATGAGCATCGGCAACTTTTTTACTGTATTTAGGCGTTTCACTTACAAAACACACTTACCGATATTATGCAGAGTGTAGATTCTTTAGGGAGATGATTTTAACTTCCACCAACCTCTCTGTAGCTTAACGTAAATTATTATATCATATTATATCATTGTTATTATTATAATTATTTGAGATATAATGCTGACTATGTTTCTACAAATTCATAAAACCGTCCAAAATTGAATCCAGGATGTTATTATTATGTATATATTGTGCTCAAATAGTTTAATAAATATGTACTATTATTATTATCAAAATACAGCCCGAAAGAAACTCCCGTTCGAACTATTTAGTCTGCAACTATTTAGAACTTCTACTGAAGAGTCCATTGTACGGTACAACTACATTCCAGTTTACGTCAGGCTCACCTTGGAATTGAACATATCAATTTATTATTTAATTACCCTGCCAATTATTAACTGGCGAGCACTTGGATTAAAGCTAAAATATCAAACCGGAAAATTTTCTCATTATTAGCAAGACGCCATGCCAGTTGGCAACGAAGTATATGGACATTAATGTTTACGAAATTGTACGATTGGACTTATTAGCAAAGGTAGCCAAGATCAACTTGTTGGGTGCATAAAAACTTTATACATGAACTAATAAAATTTTTATAAGCATAGTCCTAAAGAAAATTATCCTCTAGTGACGGCCCTATGTGTAGAATTTTGTGTTGATGATAATCAAAAAAACAAATTTACAATTCTATTGTCTAAAAGTAGTCTACTCAAAATATTCTAATCCTATGTATTACCATATAATATTATAATTAATATAATTATATTTTCTTAAAGGAGATAATAAAAAAATAAAAGACGCAAACAATGAAGACACAGTTATATGATATGCTGTTACGCTTATTGGATTTTTGCATATTAATTAGAAGCACACCTCTATATATATATATATATATATATATGGTCATATAATTTAGTAGTGGTATGTTCATCTTATGAAAAAAAGTGTTGGTTAATTCTAAGCCAATCTTGAATCGTTGCTTTTCGGTGGTGGCGTACATGTTTATAGGTGACACTATGGTTTGCAATGACGGGCCCGTCTTTTTCGCGCCATCGCTAATACAACATAAATACGCATGTCATTCCATTGACCGTACTTTTACAGAAACGAGACGTCTTTGGCGCTTTTTTTATCTATTTCTCCCCCTGTTACTCTCTCTCTTTCTCTCTCTCTCTCTCTCTCTCTCTCTAGAGATATTTCTCTTCTATCCAACTTTTGGCGTCACTTGTCACACTAACCAGTCCTCTTATACCAGCTCCACCTAGCTTACTTGCCTCTGCGTTTTACAAATTGTGAGAAAATACAGCCCCTTCATATATTTCGAGAAAATGTGTAAAAGAGTGCTCTTAGGTCTAACCCTTCGCTTTTTTCGAAGGTTCAGCTGAAACATTAATTGAACAAAACAAAATGCCAATACCTTACGTCCTTTATACCACAGCACTATATATGCAATCTATTCGGCCCAATAACAAACAAACATAATGACAACAAAATGACACGTCTTGTTGTAACGCCCTATATTCGTATACACAAGTTCATGCGTCGATGCGGTGCGCGAGGGGAGACCGAAACAATTGGGAGGCCTAGAATGCTCAGTACCCAAGGCTTGAAGCTCCTTGTGCGCAAAAAAACCTCGAAGAACGAACAATTCCTGCAATTTGGTTGCTTAGATCACTGTGATGCCGGTGATATTCATAATGCTGTCGTTCTGATCCAACCGTACCCGATTTATTATTATCGGCTGCAGCGACTCCTTGACGGGCCAGCGCTCGAGGCCGATAGGGTCCGCTGGTCAGCTAGCTTTCCGCATACCATTGGCACAACCACCAGCCGTTGCTCGATGACGTCCACCGCTTTTGTTACTGGCTCCTCCGGCAGCGCCACTTGTGGTATTTGACATCGTCGATTCTGTTGACTGCAAACGACAACAGTGAAGATAAAAATACATATATTGTCACGACTGAAAATACGTTAAATTTAAACTGCATTGGTATTAGGGAATGGAAAGGTAAAAGTACTTTCAAAAGCCGAAGAATACAGCAAGGATCAATGATCAGTCACGAGAAATATGATTGTAATGCCAAGAATAATACAAGATAATTCACGGGCGAGGGATAGCTGGAGAGATTCGGTACTCCTAACGATATATAGTGATGTACAGTGATGGGTTGACATCATAAAGCGGAAAATTGAGATAAAAAGTTTCTGTCCATGTTGTGTGCTTTCATATGTTGAATATAGATGTAGATTATACTCGATAAGGCTCAGAAAGTGCCGTTATTTGCAGAACATGTTGGTAACTAACGTGCGATGACGATTTCTACATTTTTTTGGCTGTCTTCAAATTGCACAGAAAGGTGATTAATGAATATTCCGGCTTTCACTTTCCCAATACATTTATGAAGAGTAGGAATATTATAGAAAGACATTTATATGAAATGTTGTCTTGTTGTTGGAGTGCGGAACTATTTCGATTACCTTGCTAAGTAATTATTAAATGGTAACTGTGCATTTTTTGTATTATTCAAAAAGTAACTACAGCTTTCGTTTATTGGCTAGATCACAAATATTTCATTGATACTGAGTGCTCTACACCACACAAAAATTTACCTTAAGCTTGGACTCTAAAAATGGAAAATGTTACGTGAAAATGAAGTAAATTCAAGGCATCGATTTTTCGCTGCTATCGGGAAATGATAAACGTAAATCAAGAGATTTGTTCGTACGGTCGATCTGTGAATTATCGTCATTTAACAATTAGCTTTCTTAAAAGTGGTTTAATGTAGCCCTCGTCAAATTCAGAGATCCCAATGAAATTCGTGCCTGAGGTCGAACATGGTATGTATGACTACAATGAAGAGCCGAAAATGATTCAATTTACTCATTGCTACAGAACCTTCGTCGCACACGCCACACCTGTTCAAGATTCTTTTGGCAATTTTCGGACTATGGTGTAAGACGAAGAGTAAATGTGTAAAATGCTTTGATTTTTCCAGTGAAGGCACCCCAGCCGAAGATACAATTTTACGACCCGAACAAAACGATGACAAGCACAACGATGAAAGCAAACGACCAACAAGCAGGAAAACGGCCTTGTAACGGTGTGTAATACTCTAACTTCAGCGAAAGAAAAATTACGGGAGCGAAGCAATCAGCAAATCTTGTTACTTATGATTTTCCAAGCAAACTTATATTTCTTTTTTTTTTAAACTATCCTATAGATATTTGCATATGAAGATACCTTGTCTGCAATTTTTGTCTGTTCATTTTGTTTCATCTGTTGTAGTGCTTGTAGATGAGCCCGCTTTTTCTCGGCTGGTGTGGGGTACATGCGACCGCTTTTGCCGCGCCTCCCACGACTGCCGCGTCCACCACGGCCACCAGAATCTGAGTCAGAATCGGAAGATTCTCCCACTCTGAAGTGGTATATCCGAGAAACGAAAGCATTTAGGAAAAACGCGTGACTCTTAACCATCACCTTTGCACTTATAAACATTAGTTGTTTATTAGTCAATGGTAAGTACACACATAAATACTGTAAGGGTATGTAACTCATGTAAAACCTTGAAAATATTAAAAATTCAGACAGTGAACTAGACTAACGATTCCTATAAAAGGTGAGCATATGGTAACCAAAATTTGTTGTGCTGTTGGAAAAAAAGCAATTCTAAATTTGCTTATCATTATTTGCTTATTATTCATTTATTATGCATTTATGTATATTTCTAATCATCCTCTATGCCTGCACTAAATATTAAAAGACGCTCTTGGAAAAATGCCTAAGAAAAGAAAACGCGTCATAATATGTATACATTTCAATATAATACATTTAGTTTGAAGAATGTGTCTAGAAACTTTTATAAAAAGGAAAACTTGATAAAAAAGAAACTGGGAAAACATTTATGCGTATCATAGTTCTGATAGTTTTTGATAACCAAACGGGATTTAACAGAAAATAAACCGTAAGGCAGCTCTACTCCCCCCATGTAACATGTTTCATGTATTTCATTGAGCTCACCTGGACTTTGGAGGAGCCTTAGCAGTTGCAGATTGTTGCGGCAGTCTTGCTTCTGGAGCGGGTTGAGATGTAGGCCGAGATCGTTCTAATTCCTCTTCGGTCCCATTTGAGATCTGGATAAAAAACTTATTTTTCTCCCCTTCCACATCAATAATACCACCGCGTTCTTTCTGTTGTAGATATAAACGGGCCATCTTCTTTCTCATTTGCTCAAGCTCTGGAGTCACTGTAAATTCGGGATCGGTGGCTTGTGCTGATGGAAGTGGAAGTTCTGGATATGTACTAGCCGAGACAATATCTTCAGGAATCTCCAGACGACACATTGGGCATACCAACTGAAAATGACAAATATTAAACATATATAAATGGCGTCTTTTGGTAAATGAAGGAGTTTACGCTGAGTGAAAAATATTTAAAATTGAATTTCTGTTGAAGAAACAATCAAAAGGGTATGCTTCGTGACAAAATCATGTTACGGCAACTGAAAAATGCGCTGGATTATAGATATTTTTGAACACGCATGCCGTAAGAGCGTAAAACCGGAATAAAATACATACTAAAATGAGATTTAAGCTAAAAGTGCGTTTGAGCAGATTGTCTTGTCGATCATTTGGCGCCTTTCAAGCATCGCCCGGGAATCAAGCATCGCCCCAATTAAATTCTCGCAAATATGACACATGTAATATTCTTGCTTTACAATTTCTATACACATTTTTTTTGCTTTAAGCAGCCTAAGGGTATTCCTGTAGTTCGGCTGTTCATACTGTTTCAATGTAATAATACCTTTATGGACCAATATCAAAAAAATCCAATTATGTTAATTACGAGTCGGCAGTGTAAGAGATGTATGCGTAAGGACACTAACTTGTTGGATAACACGATGAACAAGTCAAGCTTTACCTTAAGTGGTTCCTTGAGAGGACTATTATTTTTTTTAGCTTCCTCTTTTTTTTCCCGTATTTCATCTAACTGGTAATTGACGTAGCGACTGAGACAATGCGAATGAAAATAATGAAAACAGGCAGTTTTCACAAAAACGTCGTTTTCGTCGAAGCCGTAAAGGCATATAGCACAAGCACAGGCAGGTAGGTTATCCTTAGTCAAGTGGTCCTTGGCTACCTGCCGAGATAGGAGATCGTCAAAAAAAGACAAAAAACGTTTAATTATTCGTAAATCAACAACTTTTATAATATGAAAAAAACAGCGAGACTGATTTTTTAAACGGCAGGTTTTCGTAAGCTATCAACATATCCGAGAATCTGGGTGAGCTCAGTGTGGCTCAGTACCACTAAAGTTTCGGTTCCAAGTAAATGAAACGTAGATCCTACTTAGGTTCAATCGCTCGTTTGCTAGCAGTCCTGTAACTTGGTTTTCCAGTGCTACCATAATATTGCGTTACATGACATTTAACTCGTGTAGTTCTCAATAAGTACTATTTTTTAAGAAAGATAAACTTCTAAAAAAGTTACATAGCGTATCACTCCTGCGGGATGGCTTTTACACTGTATGAAATACATAATTACATTTAAATCTACTTTCATAAAACTAGCTGTCGAAACGCTATAGACGAATAATGATGCTCATTGAAAATGACAGAAAATACTTTCAACTGCAAGAACTTTTCACAAGTATTGTTTGTCTTAAAGTATGCAGTACATAGATGACACAAAATGGGCCGTAAATATAAATTAGTTTCCACTCGATTTTAAACCAGTTATGGCTGAACTTCAAATTAAGTCTCCTTCCTGCTGCTTATAAGCGAATACACGTACCTCGATCAGATGATAAAGCATCATCATGCCTTTGTTGCTTTGCGCATTGTCTTGGAGATCCTTCTCGATTTGTTGGAGGCGTTGATCGCTCAGGCCACGTGGGTTTTTTATCGTTATCTCTGGAAGGGTGTCTGGGTACTAGATACAATAAGAAAAAATAAGGCATGCATTTAAGCTCTTGATACGCATCTATTTTCCGTTAGCGTTCAACCACATTATCTTTGGCTCCTCAAATTACAAAGGCAGTCGTTTCTGTGCTATGGTGTACTACCAGTTAATGCATACACTACCTGTGATACCAAAAAAGCAAAATAAAGAGATCAGCCTGCACAAAATGTCCATAATTAAAGAAAATCTCGGAATTTTTTTTACCCTTTTTGCGTTCTTGCGTCTTGTTATGTTCCTTATGTTTCCATCAACAGGAACCTCTCTTATACCACGCATAGCATTATTCGTTCTTCTTACCTTAGTAGCTTTTCGAAGCAATCGTTTCATCATTTGTTTTAAGCTTCGGGTCTTTTTTATGTACTCGTTTCTCATAGATTATCAGAAATATATAAATCAACATTAAGGTGAATAGCTTTCTAGCTATAATACGTTGATATTCGAAATATTTTTCCGCAAAGTTTAAATACCAGGTAATCATACATGTAATTGTACAATAAATATAACTGTAAGAATTACAGATATGATTGTACTCAACGCTTACCCCAACTGGGATGTAAAACCATAGCTCCATGCAAACCCATTGAGCAGATGTATCCTCACCAGTTGCCGGCTTTAAATCTACTTTGATAGTCTTCACGAATTTCCTAAAACAATGTTAAGCCACATAAAGAAGAAAAGCACATTGTTCTTATTCATCAACGAGTGATCTCGATAAACATTCAATACACTCAGACAAGCAGAAAATATTTCTATGTATCACGTTATTTGAAACAAAAAAACATGCTTACAGTGTCCGTATAGTTAGCGGTTAACTAAATTGAGCTGTATCGGAGCGAAAGCAAAGCAATTTCCGCTATAGATGCCTCCATGCGATATTTTTGTTGTTCGCTCAACAGAATTGGGTTAGGCAGGTTAGATTTATCTCTGAGTAACTTAATCTATAAATTCGCAATGGTGCTTTATTTACATGATATCATATTTTTATTATTCCTTCTTTGTTAAAGGTTGATAATCGTATATCAAATTCGTAATTATGACCAGTGTAATTCTTAGCTCTTACCATTCCTGGACTTTTAATTCATCTCTATGTAAAGGTAGCAGACAGGCGTCTGAAAGAGCAGCACACGTTGCTGTAGTATATAGGTGTGCTCAAGAGAAAATTATCATACCGAACTCTGATGTCACCAAAATTTGACGCCAAATTTAAGGTATAATAGTATGGTCAAGTATACCTAATTATACACAAAAAGTAGATTTATTGCACATTTAAAGCATTTATCCAAACACAGTATGCAGGGCAAAAATAACCACCATATCCTCTTTAAGTACTATTCTGTGCCATTAAAGGTAACCGTTAACTATCAAAAGCAATACAGGTCGCGCAGTGTTTTCGGCCGCGCAACCTGTCATATATCTGCTCACTTCTGAGTAAAACGCACGCAAATATACTATTATCGTTAAAGTCAGTAAATATCATTATATGTTTTTTCGTACGTACTCATTCTCGTCAAAAATTTCCAACTCATGAATGTAGATTGATTCAAGGGTCTCAATTTCTGTTAAGATTTGCCTGAAAAACAAAAATATATTGTCATTTATATAAAAAGCCAGCCTTATACCAATATTTGTATAAACAAGGCGAAACGTTAGCTAATATTCAGTAAATCCTTGTGAAGTAATGTACAACAATGTAAACTGATAGGATACCTGTTCATAATATATCACTGCCTGGCAAAGGAGTATTTACTACTATTAACTAAAAACTTGTTAATTTCTAAGGCGATGATGTGTCAGATGTTCGTGAGAAAAACCTTCTTCCACTATTGTGTGTAACTGTTCCCGATAGAAATGTCAATATAGAAAGCAAGCTCCGCCGCACAGCTGAAAGATGATCTGCTGTCGTCGCTCTATTTAAACGAATCGAAAATACTCATACGTCAAACCTACAACCCATACACCGTCTGTGCTTGAGTCACGTGTTGAAGCTGTACCATAGAGTGCACTTACTCTTCAGTTTCTTCCATTTCCACGGCGATCATAAGCACTTGATCTACGATGAGTCTAGCTGTAAAGACAGTCTCGGAGCAGCTTCAACGCACAGCCCCAAGATGAACTTCCGTGGTTTTGACAGTTGGAAAATCCGGCAAAGGGGTTGCGCAACTTTTCCACTTTGTTTAACAACGTTTTGCCTATAGTGATATGATTGAACTGATATATTCACCGAAAATTGATCTGAAAACCTCAGCTGCATTGATGCAGTGTTACTAACGTTCTCCGGGAGTTTAAAATAATCCAATGCTGCTCATCTTTGTCTGTACCCGAATACCTGGCAAAGCTTAATAGGCGGAACAATCCGGAGATCCCAGACATTCTCATAACATGAGCTTAGCTGCTGATCTCGCAGTCTCAAGCTGTACTGCAACGGCGGCTGTAGCCTGTTGCGGATGTAAAACACACGAGTCTGTGCAAAATCGGTGATTTAACGTTGTTTCGCAGGATAATGTACTTTTTGTGATATAGGTTAAAGAATATCGTGGCACAAAAAGTTTACGGTAAGCGATGTGATGCATGATTCCACAAAAATCGGATGCATAACCCAACCCAATGTTCTGTTGTCTAATGTAAATAGGGTACATTACGTGTTTCTGTAAGCAATGCGAATGAGTCCGTATATATATATATATATATATATATATATATATATATATATATATACATGAGTTAGAATAACAAAATTAGCTTTTGCAAGCAAGGTCCAGGGTCGATTGCGAAATTGACAAACGTGGATTGAATACGACCAAATGTCGCTGCTGCTGCGAGTAGCCGTTGTTTATGTCACCTCTGTCCTCCCTAGCAGAACTTTTCTTCAATTGCTGTTCTGTGGCTTAACCTTTAGCATAGCTACTAAATATGGCAATCTTTTTTTTTTATAATTTATATAGGCTTACATTTTTCAAGCGTAAGTTAGAAAATATATTCATAGATACTTGTTAAAAAAAAGTGACGAAGTAAGTTGCTCTTATATATACATATCTTTAAAACAATAATATTTTTAAAAGCGCTCGAAAGCATTTTTTTCACGCACATCATTTCGTCTTGAGCGTCTAACTTGACTGAAGGGCTTTTCTTGCCTTTTGTATGACTTGCTAGGAGTTCAGTCCGCACTGTGCTGCTGTTGACATAAATGGCCTGAAGGAAACAGAAAGGAAAGGTAGTTCACTGACACATGCCAATTTGTCTAGATTTTACTAAAAAAAAGAATACTCTGACTCATGTATACATGCGTAATATAGACTAACGAAACTCGAGCAAACCGAAGATACTAAACTAAATTTTTTGCCTTAATAGTAATCATTTACGAGAAAATCGAAAAAAGAAGATGTAGATGGACATGCAAAAAAGACATTCGATGGTTGTAGCTTGTATGGTGTACTTAAGCAATCTATGATGCTTGAACTAAAGATTAAAGCATAAATTACTGTTTTCATCTTTAGCTGTCACACTAATCTCATCACTTGCATGTTATAGAATCCGGCTATAATAGCATTTGTCCAGTGCTATGAGCACCTGTAAGGCTTTCTATGTGCGTAACACCCATTCGGCTTCTATTCGGGTTTCGGCAGAGTTCAATTTGAGCAAATTGAAACTACGTTTAAGGACCAAAAACTCTTTTTCAGATGCATCCGACTTAATTCAATACCTATTCGAGCTCCTATGACAGAACCTATGACAGATCGTGTAGTCCTGCGCGCTCTATCCAATCAAATAGGTAATAGTAAAAAGCGCTAAGTCTACATAGAAGATTTATTGATATTTTCGTCAACAGAGGACCTCTTTCAAATCAGTTTTTTCAAATCAGGCTTTACAGTTCCCATTTATCGATATTTAGTTTCTCTCCTGTGTTTAGTTTCAGCTTTCTGAGCTTTGCAAAGCCCTATTAATCCCGCATATCGTTAATTATGATTTGATTTAATTTTAACTCAACGATGATGACATGCGTGTCACACTGAAACTTTAAAATTTTCACTATAGTTTTTCGTAACTTGCAGAGTACAGCTGTAATCAGCGATTTCGTCACCAGAATACCAACTTTCCACACCGCTACAGGCTAAGGCTACCGAGACGGCATGCGACATAAAAAAATGCATAACGTAAATCCTTTGTTTATTGCTTATTTATAGAATATGGACCGGGACAAAAAAGCTTCTCTACTTAAAACACGCGCCCTACCATCAGGATCGAAGGGAAACCCTCGGTTCAATTCGACAGAGCTTATCATGCTCGGCCCAAAACAGAGCGATAAATCGACTGGAAAGGTAATTTTTGTTAATATATTTATCATCGTGTCAGGAAGGAATGTTGCTCTCAAAATCGTCATTAAATTCAAGTAATGTTGTATTAAATGTAAAGACCACCTCGAAGAGTGATGATAATTACCCCCGAATTACAAAAGTTAACCAATTTGGAATATTCTTCTAGGCATTAAGTGCACCGCCCCTGGATCGAAAAAGGACAGGTTCGCCTGGACCCGCCAAGAAACCGAAACTTGCTGGCCCGTCTGGACAACCATCGACTGCTGGTCTTCAGAAGTTCGCACCAGTCAGTATTATACAACAGAGACTCAATCATAGCTGTTATACTAATCGAATTGACTGATTAGTATGTAGTAGCTGCAGCCTCGTACGAAAAATGTATTAGTCGTAGTGCATAGTCAAGATTAATTCAATACTATGTTTATTATGTCGTAGAATTAATTTTCATATCATTCCTCTAATGAGTTTAAAATATCAAGCTTTAGTTGTTTTTAATGTTGATCAGTGTGAGCTTGTTCAGAGATTAACCTCGTGTCATCAATACACTAAACTTACTCCAAATAGAAGAAGCTACTAGTATTGGAAACACTATTTTATCAGGTGGTGAAACGTGATTTGATGGGCGGCGGGGCCCGCCGGGACTCCTGGGAAACGAAAGTAATAAACGTCGAACCCGAGTTGTTGATGGCAAAGTTTGCGGCAGCCGAAAAGGACGGCGATGAGGACCGTATGCAGGGTGTCCTCTGTGGAGCTGTCAAACTCCTGCGCAGTCAGCGACCCAAACCTGACGCTGTTCTTTATCTTTCTCTTATGTTCCTGGCGAAAACAAGACCTCAGGCATTTCAGGTACATACAGATGTGTTTGCTTCGTTATTCCTCGGTATACTACTACATGTGAGTTTTTAAGAAGAGAAAAAAACTGCGAACCGCCCAACTATGAGGGTACTATTATTGGTGTTTGTCTGTTGTTGTTTCAGAACGACACAGTGATCGAGGCATTCTGTCATCTGCTTCGCAAAGAGACTCCGCCGTCCCCTGCGCTTAAAGGCAAGGGAGCAAGCGCAGTGGCCATTCTTGCGGCCAATCTGCTTCTGGCAGTATTTCAAGACTCGGATCAATGGCCAGATGCGTTTGTTCGAGCGTTCGTTGAAGATTCACTTGGAGACCGTCTATGGGTTGATCATGAGGAGTGCAAATGTTTTGTAGACAATATTCTTACTGCATTTAAGACACGCATGCCACCGAAGAGCATGATGGCGCCAGAGCTTACGTTTAAGTCAGAGGCATGTCCGAGTCCACCTGCTGCGTCCGGCGCCATTGCGACCGACGACGACGATTCGCTAAGTAGTCTGCACCTCGATCTCAAAGAAACGACAATGTCGTTGAGCGTTGTACCTCGCTATAGTGTGCAGGAAGAGCGAATTGAAAAGTATATTCTTGACATCATACAGGAACAATTGCAAAGGCGGCAGCCCACCGATATTTCTCGCAACGTGCTCAGATTGATGGTTTGTACCTGCGGCCTAAGTGCCGTTCGCGCGTTAGTCGCCCATCGGCTTGAAACGTGGCTATCAAATCCAAAGCTGACACGGCCCGCACAGGACCTTTTGTTAACCACATGTATGAACTGCAATCAACATAACAAACACGATCAGGACGTCATTGAGTATTTAGTTCGAATTCGTTTAAAAACAAAACCGGTTATCAATAACTTTCTGCAATGCGTTCGAGAGCTCTTGGGCCTCCATCCTGATAATTTGCCTAGCATGCTGAGGCGAACTATCTTCAACGAGCTATCACAGTCGCGCAACCCGAACAATATGGGCCTTATCTCAGTAATTCTACAGCACTCGCCAGAGCGGGCAGCCAGAGTGCTTGCTGAAATCTTCCAAGATCTCTTAGCCAGTAGAGAAGATTACTTGCGTGCTTTACGTGCCTTGTTTCGTGAGATCATACGTTCGCTTCGGCACGAACTAAATTTCCACTCGTTTTGTGCAGGACTTATGGTGGAGCGGAAAGAACCGCATGTTACCGGGCTCGAACAGCCGCTCAAAGAGCGCCTCCTCATGCAGGTAGCGGACCTCATCACGTTAGCGACCTTCATGGCAGTCACCCCGGCAGTGAAAGAATGCGCTACTGCGTTGTATCGTAATGAGAAAAAGGACATGATACCACTCTATCATTTTCAGCAGCAGATCTCAGCAATTCAGTGTGACGTGGTCGGCTGGATGTATATGGTCGTTATGCGAATGTATCGGCCTAATTATCAAGACTTTATGCATGTTTTAAGGAAATGTCTGTTTTTACTTGATCAGCCTGAACATTACTGTAGAGACAACTGGCCTCCGGAGCAAGAACGCGGCCTTTATCTTCGGATATCGAGCGAAATGCCAGTTATGGAAGATACACTCCTACGGATCCTCTTTATAGGTATTTTTTATTTTAATACTTTCAAGCTGAAATGTAATTATAAGGGGTTACAAAAGATGTGCTTGTTGCGTGGTCCCTAATCACTCGTTTATAGCTCGACACTTCTAAGCTCCTCCTGACGTATCTGTGGTTCCAATTGAACTCAATCTAAATAATCTTTATTCAAGAATACAAGTTTCAAGACCGCATGAGTTTGGAAAGACTGAAATTAGGAAGTTCCATGTAACCTGACTACCTTATGACGACGACAATAATGATGTTGGCACGAACTTGCTGCTAACGATGCCTAATAAATATTAGCTACCTTAAATACATAAGTGCAATACGTAAAGTCGTTGTTTACGCAAAAAAGAAACATTTTTGTCCCCCTAAGGTTACGCTCTAGAAAGCCTTATATTTTCATCTAGCATATAATTATTTGCTCTTTGGTAATCAAAAACGCTAACCAAATTCCAGGGATGTCGAAGGAGCATCCAGCGACCCAGACGGACGCTGTCGAGCTGGTCGATGTCCTTATCCGCCGTGCAGGATTGGTGCCAGGTGGGGGTTGCATTGAAGGCGGCGTGGGCCGACCTGTTCTTCAGGTAGAGCAGCTGGAGTTGTTCGACATCGTGTTCTCGCTGTGTGCTTATCATCAACCGGAAAATTATGCTCTTCCTGAGGGCTATACACCTCCATCTCTTGCGATTGCTGATTATTACTGGCGAGCATTTATTATGATGCTTGTTGTGATCGCTCATAATCCGTCTACGTGCGGCCGTAAAGCGTGGACCGAGTATCCGACGTTAAGGGCGATGATGCATATGTGTATCACGAACCAGTTTGTGTTCCCACCAAGCGGTGAACAGAGTGAAGAGATGCACAATACGGAAACACGTATCGCCATACGAGAGAAACAGTTGATTCTTGAATTCGAGACTCATCTTGCTGCTGCTTCAACCAAAGTACGTTTAGTGATAGATAAACAAACATATGAATGCGCATACGCGATAAATGGGAAAGACTCCCCACAGCTCTAATAACTTACCTGCCTTTGTGTTTTACAGATGGTGATTACTGAGCAAAATTCGTTGCTTCTCTCAAAACTAATCAAAATGGATCCAACTGGACCAGCTCGACGACCGCCACCGCCTGTCTTGGAACAGCTCAAGGCTTTGAACGATAAGTTACGATTGGGCCAACTCCTTTGTCGCAGTCGAAATCCAAACTATCTTTTGGAAATCATTCGCGACCGGCAGGAAGGCGGTTCGTCACAAGCGATGCCTTGGTTAGCCGATTTGGTCGAAAATTCAGAAAGCTCCCTTGACATGTTGCCTGTGCAGTGCTTATGCGAATTTTTACTTAGCGACACTCTCGAAGGAAGCACCGAGGCGCAGCGGCAACGTATGATGCCGAATAAACGACGGAAACTGCAGCAATTAATGGGCCACCTCCATCGCCTGCTCCGAAATCCCGAGTCTGATTGTAATGCTGCCCGAGAAGTGATCGAGTATTTTATGAAGAGGCTAACTTCGCAACACATGGGCCCTCGGGGCTTAGCGGTACGAGCACTACAACTTTTACTTTGTCCGGCCAATAACGGGGCTAACGGTGTTCCCGGAGGGCAGCAGGAGGGCGGTGATTTTGACTGGCTTCTTGAGCAGATCCCACAGCTACCCCACTTTAATTACCTGCTTGAACAGGTGATCTACACATTGCGTCAGGCCATCCATATCGAGACGGATCCGTTGGCCGTCGTGGCGTATGTGGCCTTTCTTTCTCTACATACGCCGGAGGAGCAACAGGCAGATGTTTGTCTCGACCTGGCGCATCTCCTTGTTGAACGGGCGACGATAATGAACGCGATTTTACCACTAGACAACAGCACGACATTCGTCTACGGGGATTTGTTCCTTGTCTCACTTTTAGATCTATTTATCGCCTATCTCAACTTAGCTAGGCGCTCACCACACACCGCATGGCAGGATGAATTCGTACAGGTTAGCTAGATATTATTGAGTCAACAAAGGTCGAGTTCATACAGGCTCCGGGAAAAAGTCAAATAGCTGATTACGCATATGGATATTCCTTATTTTTCATGTCACTACTATATATATATGTAACCATTCGCCTCGAACGCTTTCTCATTTCCGGTATATAAACATCTTAGAGTCAGCCGGAAAAGTCAATTAAACTTCAAATGATATTGCCTAATTTTTAAGTGAATGCTGCTTAACTTGTTTTCTAATTATTTCAGGTTGAGTGGTCGTCAGGCGAGCGTGCTCAAATGCACATCCTTGTGGTGCACTCGATGATCATAGCACTGACGTACGGTCCTCCACGCGAACGCCCAGAACGGTTCACGCAGTTGCTGCGCATGTGGTTCCCGCCTGATGGAGTAACAATTCAGGCCTTTTTGGCTGGCACCCGTGATGAGGCTTTACTACTGCCGGACTGGCTGAAATTGCGCATGATTCGATCACCCGTCGAGCAACTTGTTGACGCCGCACTTCGAGATCTTAGTGCGGACCAATTAGTTCTATTTATACAATCCTTTGGCATACCCGTTGCTTCTATGAGCAAACTTTTGCAGCGTCTTGATCGTGCTGTAGAACTCGATCCTCACTCAATGAGCAATGCTATGCTTGACAAAAGTTACATGTCACAGTTGGTCGAAGTTCAACATAGGCGAGGCGCAATAGGCGGAGACCGATATAAGGCGCTCTTAGCTGTGGACAAAGAACTCGAGCATATGGAGACAGACAGCGCCAAACCTACATCTGTCATTCAAATTGTACCGCGAAACAACTGGACAAGGACTGCCCAGTCAGAAACAATGTTCCAGTCAGTAACAGACGCGATCGTGCAAATCTACCGGTTAGAACCAAACCAGCCCAGCATTAACTCCAAAGTTGAACAGGACCTTTACAGCAGATTGCAAAAACTATTTGCTGAAGACATCGGCAAGAAGTCAGTGGTTGGGGGCGCAGTTGCCGAATTTATTCTCACTTGTGAACGAATTTTAGAGAACCCGCAAACTGGACAATTGTTTGCAGCACAGCTCCAGTCAAAAGCGGCTATGTCTTGTTCGTTATTTAAGCTAGTCATTACAGCCCTTCGAAGTGAAACCTCCAACTCACCGCTGCGGTTCAAACTTACCTGTGTTTGCAATAAGCTGCTCGAACTAGCAGTTAGCAATGCCAATACAGGAGTCCACCCAACTCCATTGCTTGAAATCTTGAAACAACAGGTGTATACCAAATCAACAGAACGAAGATCACACTCTAAAGGACACGCATCTCACAGGCCAGATCAGCGTCGGCAAGAAGAGCTTCAACGGGAAACGCCTGCATCTGTTGATGAAATGGTGGAGTCATTAACAGCAATCGCCGTCAATCAACCTGACCGTCTCGAGGAGGCCCTTTGCACCCTGGTGCAGCGAGCGATCCGTAGTGGGGACAGTAGCCGTCTCTGCCAGGCAGTAACCCAGATACTATCCGATGAACGGTTGTCATCAAAAAATGCAGATCAGGTTAACACATCGTTTGCACTGGTAGATTGGTTTGAACAACTCGAGCCGGAGTGTGTCTGGAGCGATAAAGCGGCACAGCTGAAACTTTTGTTCGAAAAATATAACAATGAAGGCTCAGCTTCTTCCAGGTTCAGATTGTATCTTCTCTCGACGCTAATTCACAGGGCTCATTGGAACACTCTTCTTGAATGTATTGCCATGCTGCTCACTCGTCCGATTGACAAGAGTTTGGACGCTTCGACCGTGCTTGATTTTCTTAGTGCCTGTATGTTTATCCCAAAGATATGGCAGGGTAGAGATAAGAAATTGCCAAAACACCACACTGTAGAGAATGTGTTGGCATTGTCAACCGACGAAATGTGCGCAGTCGCTGACTTTATGTTGGAGGAAATGTTGAATCAAGGCGACGACGATAAGGCTAAGGAGATCGTGTCTCAGCGAATGCACATCATTGAGCACTCATGTGTGAAGCAGGCACATATCACCTTCCTGGCAGATCATCTCGTCACTCTGGTTAACGAAAACAGCCCGCAAAGTGCGTCAGCTAAGGTTCTCCTCGTGAAGCTCTATCTGAGTATGCCTTCAGTAATCTTCTCGGCCGACTCGGTCAATTATCTGTTATCGGACATCAACCCACAGAAGGGAGGTTACACGCGTGTCGATTGTTTGTCCCATTCAATTCTCATAGCGATGTCGGTATGTGATACAGATAAGACATTTAAAAGCGATCTTCGTTATTTAAACCTTAGTTGTCGCAAGTTGGCAGCCACGCATCCCGATCTTCTTCTTCGCCAACTTCCCCTGATTGCTAGCCTCCTCCATTCTCGAATGTCAGCCGGTATTCCGATGTTTGGCACAAAGAACAACCGAAAATCATTTCTTGTGTGCATTATGGGCGTTCTTGAGCTACTCCGACAGAAGCTCTTTAATCAGGAATATATCGCTGACGTGAATACGATTCTTCGGGTATATCTCGAATCGATGTTATTGCACGTTAATGCCGGAATGACGCGTGCGGTCGAAGACAATATTGGGGGCAATCTCAACCGACTATTAGGTCTTGTCAATACGTACGTAAAACATAACCCCGATGCTGCCCGCGAGTTTTTGAACGAGCACCAGGAGCAACTCGAAGAACTGGCGCGTACCTATAAGAACATGGTATCCCTGCGTACGCTGTTGAAGGGAGGGGCTTTTATTCCCGAAGAAAAGTCGGCTTCAGGAGGAACAACGACGCCAGCGATAATCGTGGACTCAGCTCTTCCGGATGATTCGATAAACAAGATTCCTCTAAACCTTGCGGACCGGGATGCTACCATACAAGGTTTGCAGAAACTCGAAATGAGCGCTTCGCGTCGACCAGCTATTCTCGAGCTTTATCAAGACGAGTTGCAAAGTCTTCTTTCGACTGGAGACAGCCAACTGTGTAAACAAGCATTCCGTCTGATGCTGCTTTGCATCGAACAGCGGCCGGCCGCCGCAGGCAGATTCGTATCTTGTTACCTTCAATGCCTGGCAAGCGAAACTCGAGACGTTGTCAACATGGCTCTCGAGAAACTACCTGAGTTTGTCGTGCTTTGTGAGGAGCACGCTCCCTTACTACTTAATAAAGCGTTCCAGCTGGGCATATCATCAAATGTCAACAGCGTTGAACCAATATCGGACGCGCTGGAACTGCTCAATATGCAGTACGGAAATTAATTACAGTTGTACAGCGGTGCGCACATCTATTAGATATGAAAAGCAGTAAGGTGTAACGCGGCTTTACGTATTGTTCGCATATAGAAGAAAACATACACCAGTAGCCAAGATTGGACACAGCGGAAGGCGTCAATAGAGTCAGAAGAGGGCTATCAACGATTTCGTGTTGGTAACGGCGGACAGCGAACCACAACAAAATAACAAGATTGCGGAACATGCAAACCCCGTACAGCTTCACTGAACAAATTGGGATATGAACGAACAGAGTGAACGCAGAGCTTTAGTAATGTTAAACCTGAGAAACAATATGAGATGCTGGCGAACTCATTCCAACTTAACAATTAACCAATATGCGATAAAAACCAAAAACAAGAGTAGAACAAGATCGTGGTACAGCTGAACTGACAACGAACTAATGGAATAAGATACTGAAATCAAGAGTTGCTGTCGGTGTTGATGAAAACGATGATAATGATGGCGATAATAATAATAAAAATGGAAGTAATATTCAGGGAATAGGGAAATTATGAGATATAGAACGGGCCAGTTCATATGGCGACATACTTGGCAAGACGTCAGTAATTTTGTAAATAAAATATTTGTTGCTTTTACCATTTGCACATATCATCTTCGGCGAGTCAGCTTCGACCCCGTTTCCGTTATAGGTAGTATTTGTAGATTGTAAGTACTCACCGTAATAAACTGCTCCGCCTGTATGTTTCTATGGTGTTATTTTTGTAATAACGAAGATACTGTAACCGTGCCTCTAACGTAAACTCTTTTTGGCACTGTAATAGAGGCACGGCCAAAAAGAGTTCACGTTAAAGTTGAACAAACGTTGAACCCATATCTATAAGTTCGCCAAAAGATTCCCCGTCACAGTTAAATAGCACAAATATGCACAAGCGTTAAATCTATAACAACAGGGTCGCCAAAAGATTCCCCGTCACAGTTAAATAGCACAAATATGCACAAGCGTTAAATCTATAACAACAGGGTCGCCAAAAGATTCCCCGTCAGCTAAATTGCACAAAAACGAATTTATTTTTTCCTTATTATATGTTTAGATAGTGATTTTTTCCTTATTATATGGATAGATAGTGATTTTTCCATTCAAGATATCAATGGCTTTCGATTGTCTGGTTAATTGCAACATCTCATCGAAGACAATGGGCATAAATTCAATCGGTATTTTTGTCTATCGGAATTCTCCGGAATTAAAAAGGCTTTGCGGTAATGTACTGATTCATTATAAAATATATTTTCTCACAAATACGGTTTATTTTTTTCTACACACATAACATATATAGATATCAACTTATGTGCCAACACCTTGCTTTACTTTATGCATCGTATACGAGTGATACGCTATACGGAGTGGTATTATTTATACAGAGCGTTCATTGATCCACCTTTTGACACTGGGCTCCAGGCTTTATGAGCACTGAATCGCTGAACCTTTAGTCGTATATAAAAGCGGAAGTACTTGTTCCTTCTTTCTTTGCAGTTGCTGACGTTTATAATTAGGCAGTATAATTGTGCGTAGCCCTAGCTCATGTTCCTTTTTGCTTCAATGTTTACGGTTTTATTGTTTTCTATTTCTATCTATAATAATGTAACATTTACTTACATATACCATTGCATCGAGTCTTTGCGTATTCAAAAAGAAATAACGTTTAGCATTTTCCAAACACGTTGGAAATACACATTTACATATCCATACGCTCTGCTGGACGAATACTTCGGCCACTGCGTTTGCTCACAGTTACATTCGATTTTTTCCTGTTTTGCCACAGGTTACCCTCATCGAGTGCAGCCGGCAAGGTCCTCGCGCGTTTTGATTTAGGCATATGGTTACATTTGCCAGTAGTAATTACTGAAGGTGTCACGGCTTTTTTTAATGTTTTTGAAGCTCTGCGCTTTGTGCCAAGGTTTATTTGAGTAACAACCTTCTGTGCACCGGACGGAATATGCACCGGTGCTAGCACTGGCGGTGGCGAATCATCTGGAATGAAACCAAGGAGTTCGCGGACTTCCTCCCGTATATCAGTTACCTCCCAGTGCTTCCGTCGCCGTATCCAGTAATCGTCCAGCCTGCTATTGCTATCTATAATAGACGCACGGCTATCCTCGCTGTCGACAAAGCCAGAATCTCTCGACAACATACGTCCTGAGCATCGACAAGGTGTTGAAGACGTCTCTAACCTTTTTCTCGTACTGAGAATTGTTGACGCCACGCTCATAAAAGTGCACGCAAGCGATGACACTAAAACATCAGGACGACTGGATCGCTGGTCCTGACCAGTTGTTTGTGGGGTTCTGGATGAATTCCCGAACAGATCTGCAAACGATCGAGGATCGCCGTCGTCCTCTGAGTGAAATACGGGATCACCTGAATCAACATTTGTCTGACATAAGGCTTCTGGCAACAACGGGAAACCGTTTACATTGTGCTCTTTCTTGCCTATATTCGACTTTGAGGAACGAGTCTGAAACGAAACAGTTTTCTTATTCAGTATACCGGTTGGTTCGGCACCAGTGTCTATAAAGCTAAGTATAATACACACAGCTCTCTATCATATATTTATGACCTTTAAATGGGCACGATAAAATATACAAGTGTTTAATAATCTGAGTATTAAGGCTGAACAAGTGTATATCGCGTTTGTTGAATTTATTTTTTTTATCTATAAGCTAACACATGGCTCAAACAATTAAACCAGTAAGCATTTGCTGGAAATATTTTTAGTCTTTTCGTCTTTCTATAAACAGTATTATAACGAATCTGTTGCGGCGAAAATAATTACAATCGTTGTCTTCAAACGTTCGACGAATCGAAATCCTACGATCCTACGAACAATTGATGAACGAGTTAGTATCCACTTATGATAAGAGGCCCATTTGAGCGTACACACCTGAATTCCAGCGCCAAGATGGTTTGCCCAGATCCTCGCCTGCGGTTCCTGCTGGCGAAGAATAGCAAACTCTTGAATTTCTGACATGGAAGGCTTTTGTTCTCGCGACTCCAGATTGTCCCCTTCGTCACAATTAGCATGGCTGTGGCTATCGTGTCTAGTGGTGTTCTTGCTGTTACTACCATTATTATTATTAATGACGATTCTGCCGTTGAAGATATCAAGTTCTTCATTATTGTCGTTATTCCTATTCGAGGTGTTGTTGGTGGAACTGTTCTCGCCACTGTCCTTCAGTGGTTTATTTTTTGTAGGCGATGCCCGAGCCTTCCGCTTCATTTTCGCTACTACGTCTTCCAGCCTCTCAACCAGAACGAAACACGTGAGTCCACCATCCAACTCAGCAAAGCTACTGGCATTACGTTTCAGCAAGTCCCGTCGAGTTGTCCGCTGCAAACGCACTTCGTCGCCGACAAGGGCCAGCGCGCGATCTGCAGTTAATCGTGATTTTCGATGTGTTTTCACCACGCACAGCTGGTCTCCGGTCGAACTTGACAGTTCATCTTTCGAGGCTCGTCGTTGTTCAAGGCTTTGGCCTAATAACGAAACTTCAATGATTGGCGATTTCGAAAATTTCGGATCCACATCTGAACCCTGGGCACTGAGCTTCAAGGGATCATTTACCGCCACTCTTGCGAGCTGTTCCTCGGGTAACAACGGACGTCGCAAATCGTTAGTAACAATTCCAGCTTCGAGATTTTTACAGAAATTATCTAATGGCACCGTCATGTTATTTTTAGTTTGCCGTTCCTCCTTTTCTGGATTGCCAGCGAGAAAATTCCCTGTGTTAACACAGACTTGGTCTGCGACTTTACAGTCGCTACTGTATGTTTTGTGTCGCGTCTCCAACCGGGTGCCAACATTACTCAAATCTCTCATAAGACTCTCAAGTATCACATCTTTCTGTTGCTCCGTTATGAGATCATGATTTTCGTTATTGCCGAAATCACTGCCAAAAAAAACGTCATCTGTCCCTTCCGAGAAATCTGCAATGCAATCCACCTCTGGCTGAAATAGACCCCGTACTGTAGCGTTTTTTCTTTCAAAAGACAGACTTTCACCTCCAAAGGTATCGAGTACTACAGGCCCGTTTGACTCTTCGCTACTATCATCTTCCCCGAAATTACTGCTGTTGCACATTTTCCTTATCCGTTTAGCATATGTCTCGATATCACTGTTGTCTTCGTCTTGTGAGCTCAATTATAACGACGGTGATCGAGTACGTTACCTAGAATATGGTTATTTCGTCAGAAAATTTTAGACCTATTTGCCTTTGTTCGCGATTACAGTGACCCCGGCGTGAATCGCATCTGCAGCGAATCACAACAGCGACAGTGCAGGTGTCGAAATCGGGTAGAAACTACATAAAGAGAGCTTATATTTCAAAGCTCCGCTAAAACAAAATATACATGTGGCAATAACAAACATAGATAGCAACAAACAAGCATATCATGCAGCTAACTACAGTAGGTATAGGCGATGCGTGTGCTTACCTCTTGCTATTACGAGATCTGTAATTTGGTATTGGATCCATAATTCGATACGCTGCGTAGAGGTGATATGTGCGGCGAACCAAACGAGGCAGGTCGTCGCTAACTAGCGAGAAGTCGATAGGGACGACTTCATTCTCTGCTACGAAGTCCTGTTTATCTCTGCACATTGCATTGGTGAAACAATTCGGGAGAAAACACAACCATGTCTTATAATTAGAACCTTTCGCATGAGACTCGATCGAGCGAGTTTGATGAATGATCGGGAAACTAAGACATGAAATAAGATGTTACGGATGAGGTCACTCATAAATGAGACGTAAGTACAATTGCGGTACAGTAAAGGTGCGAGGGTTCTTGTGACCGATAGGAACTGATTTGATGAGAGGTGTTGAATGTAACAAATGAATGCGAGATAACTTTATAGTGCACATAGGCACAACGCTAAAAAAAATAGCTATAAGAAGCACATGGCACACTTCAACGGAGAAGGGAAGGCAAACCACAAAAACGAGGATTAGGGCAGTGTTGGTGATGTATCTGAAGAGACGAGAGAAACTTTGGATGTTCTTTAGCAGATGCTGCAGCATCTTTAACTTTAAAGTTTATCCTTTTATTAATGATGACTATTTATATAATAGCCGTTGAATAATTACTGTACCTCAACTTTTATAAATATTACTACTAGCGATTAACTATGTTTTAATCTGCTATCCGTGTCCCTCTATCATACATGATTACTGCCTTGCACACGGATCATTATGCATGCACTCTCAGGCAAAGAGTCAACGATGTTATTTGCGAGAACCCATAGTCATAGTTCATATGATGAAACCTTGTTGCGGCTTGTCGTTTTAGCAGTCTGAAAAATGTTGCAAGTTTTACATCCAGTACTGTAATGTGCAATGCTTTAAACGGCTAATCTCCAACACCGAAAGAAGTGCGCCGGTTTAGATGCGAGATTACCTCAGGTGTTCTTAGTTTTAGTAGTAAAAATGATTTTCCGAGAAACTGCCTCAAATAACTGCAGCAATGAGTAAGTCTATCAAGAAAGAACATAGGATTTAACTGCGATATCTAATAGAGATAGCGATATCTAAAAGACAAGATTTTACCATTCGACGATCTATACGCACGCGTTTAATTGACTGATAAATAACTTGCGTGTATTAAACATATCTATATACATAATTGATACAATCTATATAAGGTGAGACTTTACGTTTCCAAACCACACATGAATCTCGACCGAAAGCCAATTTGTTCAAGGAAACGTTAAAATTTCGAGTTTCCGAATCTTTCAGCTTTCCGTATGCAGTATTTTGATGTCAGATTTTTGCTAGCTTCATCCTTTACCAGAATCACAAAAAACCGAGTAAATCAATTAAGAGATAGCGACTAGGTTTAGTCTTAAAGATACTAAGTTTTTAGGATTATCTTGAGAAGTCACCGTTTTTTCAGAGATGCGTTCATTTGTAAGTTCAACACATTGCCGCTACTTATTTGAAATTCAGCTAGATGAGCAATTTGTGTTCCGTAAGTTTAGTGATCATAATCTTGCTGTAGAACAAAATGTAGAAGAGCAACGAGCCAACTTCTGAATTAAGTTCTACAAGTATAGGAAACTGTTCTGCATAGCAAACAACACTCGACAATGTAAGAATACTCTTCGCGGGTTGCGCCGGGGGCACTGAATGAGCTCAGTTATGCCGTATGCCTTTTCTTAGATCACTCGTTCTATTATAGGGTTTAGATCCGGGGTCATACAATATACTAGGAATAAAGGATGAGCAAGCTGCATGTTAAAAATCCAATATACCATATACAAGACAATGTCACCTCATGATGAATGCAATTCGAAACCATAATGAATAGTCTCCCCCACTGTTCGTCGCACTGTTTTAATTCTGACTAAATACCTACGCAATCCCAAAAATGCACCGTCCAAACGACACCATTTTTTGCTTCCCGTATTTTATATTATCTAAGAAATGGGTGTATAGCATTGCACTAAATCTAAATTCTGCCATGGCCAATCCGAATCTTTGGCTGCGTTACCAACTTAGTCTTACAAATCCGCACGCCGGTCACCGTTGGTCCAACTATTAGCATTGGAAAATGATGACAAAGGTTTTTTGTAATGAGGACACGTAGTCTGAATTCGCGTCCGGGCGTAGTCACTGCTTCGTGCTGGCAATTAGCCATCTTCAAATCACACGCTTAATCTTGATTTTGCATGAAGTGGCTTAGCCCATACATGGCAGGGCAAAGTTTACTCACCCATAGTAACCACTCTGTCACAGATATAATCAAATAACAGTTCGCCGGTCGGTCACTCTTTGCAATGCCGAATTCGTCCTCTTATCACTAGACGTTTCGTCAAATTTACGCATTCACTAGCAAGTCCACAAAACAATCGTCTACAAAGCTTTTTCCTTAACAATTTCATAGAAGCTATACATTACGGATATCCCGAATTTTGTTAAAGTACTATTTATGGGCTCAAGTTTCTGCTACCGCACTTGTTCGGGCTTCACAGCCGAGCAATCAGCCTCGACAGCTACAATATTTTGTACTCCAAAGCAATGTAATTGGATTCAATTCTTGTTTCACACCACTGTTCTATTCTAGACACGATATCGGATACAATGAGATCCAAAGCCTGCCGTAGCCAGCTCGAGAAGTACCAGCAGGTCTACTACGAATCTAAGCTGCAATATCTTGCCGCGACTGCCACCTAGAAGACAAAGCACCTCGTCGTTTTTCTCCGGGTCATCGTCATTCCATCTAAAGACATCTAATTTAAAAGTAATAACTATTGGAACATTTATTGGTTACGCTTAAGATTTTCGTACGATTTTATAATATTAAACGTATATCGTTTTTAGGACGTAAATGCATATGAAACAAAGGTTGTGAATACCAGTCGAGTGGACAGAGTCACTCGAATTCTCATACAGATTACATACATACATATATACATTATACACAGTTTTTGGTTCAACGGAGTGCAGTCATTTCTGGCCCAGACCCAATAAATGAACCACCAATATGCTAATTTGTAGCAGAAAATATATCTTCTAGTTTATTAACTACACGGCCAAAAAGATAATTACATATAATAAAAAACAAACACTTATAGAATATTTGCGGCTGTGTGCTTATGCCCCTTATTGAACGTCTCTCGGTATGGCGGGCTAGGCTTTTTGTCTTTAAACAGTTGATGAGTTTTTGCCAAATTTGAACAAGCTCTACTCGTTCCTGTTAGCGAATGGGCTAACCAGCGATATTCGTCAACAGGTACCGCCCGAGACCTTTAGCCAAATAAACACAACCTGTGTTTGCACTCACAGTACGGTTGCCATACTATCTTACAGCCAGAATGGAAACCCCTATAGAATTGGCGCCTGCGTAATTATCCCCCGCAGTCCGATTAAGATCGCTTAGTCTATAAGCTATGCCAACTCACCATTTACATTTATTAAATTTCTCACAGCTATACTGCACTGCTATTGTTGTCGGCGCGAGCGGCAGCTACGTAGATGTAGCGAGCTGCGATGAAACCTTGGTCGCAGATTTTTCTTTAAGTGACATAGCAAAGTGCTACAACCCAACCCCAGTGTCGTGCTTCACTGTGGCGCGCGCACACGTACACTTATAGGCGCACACGAGAGACACTAACAATAACAGGCCATCGCCTTTCGTTCAACAGCTACAACAACAATACTGGGCGGACAAGTACTAATATAGACACTGTCTCACAAATCAAAACCAACTGACGAACACGCTGAACATTTTCGCGAGAGGAAGCCAGCAGAAGACGGACTGAGCTTATTTCCAGAAAGTCAACCACATCAACTGTAGTTCCCATACCATTGTAAGCGCATCAATGGACATACGTTATTTGTAGCAGTAGTTCTAACACGGACGGCCGGATATCTCAACCTGTTATGAGTTAGAATCTACGTTTTGGACATTTAACAGAAACTCACCCCGAATGCATCAGTATGCGGTAGTTGTCTTCCTCCTGGTGGTTCCAGCGCATTGTCGGTTTCGATGGCGACATCATTTGCCCCGGCATGTTTGTTTCAGTTCCTCGCATTTTAGTCTCAACGGTACCTTACTACTGTAACCATCCCTACCGCTGAACAGCAAACCTGGGCAAACAGCCCGCACAGAAGGCCAGCGAACCACGTTACTCTGATGGTCAACTGATTTTGCTGCTGATTGTCTCTACGGTTGTTGCCTGCACTGGTTTCGCCCTATAGTCGCACACGGTCTTATTGACATAGCGCGGCGACGGAACACAACAGCCACAGCACCGAATCAAAGCGCGGAGAGGGCAACTGAAAACGGAAGGGAGAAGGATTTGAGTTTCGTGATGATTAAATATCAGTACAAAAAGATGTCCTGAATAAAGTCCGACCTTTTCTACAGTGTTGAATGGACAGCTTGTACGTATATATCGAGCTGGAACAATGAACCGTGTGATTAGTCCGGATTGAGAAATCGAACGGCGCGAAATTCAAATACGCTATGATTAGGTGTACAGGGCCGCCTACGGACATTGTATGTATCAGGTACTCAGGCGTTATCACCTGTCGGCACCTATTTTTGTCAAGGCGACAAAGGAAAAGCCATTCCAGTAAGTTACAAAAACCGTGTGACGCGTAAAAAAATATTGTGTTGTTGTTGTTGTGTGTGTGTGTGTGTTACGTATTGCTATGTCGCTAATTAACAAGATGTAAGCCTGTATAGTGATATCTTTTATATTTGCGGGCAGCCAAACAGGATAGCATCATCATTTGGTTGACGTTGGTAGTGGTTGCAGTTACCGTTTGCAGGCCACCGTATCATGCTAATTCTGTGGCGTTTTGTCATACTGTCATAAACTGTTTGACCTAAATCTGGCGCGGTGAAAAATTTTAAGAAACATCCACAGACGCGAAATATGCCGCTGTTTTTTATGTTCCCATTGTTTGAGAAGTATTTAGATAGTTTCATCGGATTTTTACTTCGTTCCGAAACACGCTCGGATGTTAAACTATGCAACGGTGATCATTTGGCGACGGGAGGTGAAAAACCTCGATGTGATGCACAGGATCGTGGAGCCCATCAGAGTCGTGCTACCATCAAGTTCGAGAAGTCCAGGTCGCGTTCGAATCATTTGGTCGCGGTGGCCTTACCCCCTTTGCCGGCCGCACTAACGGCGCAAGATACGGTTTATAGTGATGCTGACAAATCTCTTATGATTTTTGAGAATCTGGTAGATGCTATCGAATTTTGTAAGAAAAACAAATCAGCGAGCCCACGATGGAAACAGGTAGCGGACACGACAGAGGCCGAAACTTTTTCAAGTCACCTTTTCACTGCTACGGTCTCAGATGGAAGCAAGGACATCCTGACGCAAATGAAAAATAACCGAGAGTCGATTGGCTGGAGAATGCCGAAGTCTCAAGAAACCGTTAAGCTACGCAAGACCATTGAAACTGGAACGACAAAAGAGGTGCACGCTATAATTAGTTCCAATCCCAGATTTCTCATAGGGAGCGGAGACACACCAACTGTTCTTCAGGAGGGATGTCGCTACAACGCATTTCACATCGCCGCAAAGGCTGACCGGCCTGATATGTTGTCCCTTGTCGTTCATACGTTACGCTCCAAGTCCTTTATGAAGATGATGTATCCGAACGACACCGATAAGGCGACCGAAAGCCGCATGGCATTTTTGATCGATTTGTATTTGAACATGCCGGACAAGACACGAACAAGTGAGACTCCACTGCATTTTGCCTGTAAATTCGGCTCAGTAGAGTGCGTTCGGCTGCTTCTGGATCAAGCAGAATGCGACCGGTCGGTAAAAAATGGTGAAGGACTGGAGGCGCAAGAAATTATTTGTGAACGAGCAGGCAAGCAGCCTGCTCTGGTTAGAAAGATTAAATCACTTTTTGAGGAACGATTTGTAATACCTATATTGCGTGACGAGGATGGCGACTGTTTACCTCGGGTGGGGGCGCCTGTGACACCCAAGCAACTAGACTCGATGCTCTACTCACCGCAGACGCGTACTCCACGCTCTGGCAAGCGGGTTTCTGCTATTGTGGGGCCCGTCACGTCGCCGGTAGCCTCCGAAGTAATGGCTGAGCTAACAAGTACTCGTCTACGACCCACGGAGATGCAGATCCGGCGAACAGATGCTGAGAAAGGACTTGAAAGTGTTGTACGTCAAGTCGCCAGACGATATGGGGTGCCGTGGAAGGAGCGATGGGACTTCCTCGATTGTGACGTGGATCTGGCTTCCTCGGAAGGGTTAAAAGCATTTGAGAAGTATTTAAAAAGGCAATATGATACAGCTGAAGTAAGGTTCGTAATGGGCGAGCGAGCTACGAAAACAGATTATCATGTGTGGTCCGCACTTGAACCGATCTTACACGGAATTGACAGGGCTCAAATGCCATTTATTGGTCAGTGGACTGACAACATGAAGCGATACACACGGGATGAAATGCGGACATGGAAAACACCAATAAAGTACTTGTGCCAGCACCGTGAAAAAGGAGCGGGTGATGATGCCGACTGTATCATTAATCTCATGAGTCGCTATACTAATAACGACCAGTGAATGCAAGTCAGCCAGATATTTTGTGTGGGATAAACAAGATTGTTACGCCGCTTGTTATATGTGTACACTTATATACACTTGTATACGGTAGACGACGGAGATTGTTGTTAATTTCCACGAATTGTTATATATAATTCAGCAATTTATATATATCATACTTCCGAAATTTGTGTATTGCGTAACATACAAATACACCAAGGTGTATATAATTATTCTTAATTATTATTTGCAGACTTAATTTAATGAGCAACAAAGTTTCATAATGTTGGCCTTCCGTTAATGACAAGTCCGCTTAAACAAATCGTGACTACTGATTCACGTTTAGCTGCATATATATAACTAAAATGATGTCAGTTCCTTTTATTAAGCCTCTTAGCAATATTACTGCGTTCCTGAAACTTCCAGCAAAATACGAATCTCCCAAAAAATATGAGACTCGTTCAAGACCATGGAAGATCGTTGTGTTTGCAGAACGCTACATAACATTTTATGGACATTAGAGAATGGAAAAGATCAAGCGTCGCGAAACGATGTTTATCGGTATGTTATGCGGTACACAAATTGCGGAAGTCTTTTTTTATAAAGGGCTGTATATTTATTACGAGAAGCCTGGCAGGAAAGATGTTCGAATGGTAATAAATGGTGCAAAATGTTAGGTTTGATTAAATTCTATGCAAATAAATTATAGTTATTTTCAACCTACTGTACTCTATGGTCAGACAAATACATGTTTATAATTAGTGTTATAGAAAATTGAGATAATCGATACAGTCAGGCAAACATTATGTATGTGTGTGTAATTCAATTTTTTTTATATCGCATTAAGCTTCAAGAGTTTAAAGTAACGGTACAAGATATATTTCTGGGCATGTTGTAAGAACATTTGTGATAATCTCGTCGAGAGAGTTGTACGCATGCCTATGAATAGTGTTACTTTTCAATATAGCGAAGTTTCTAGTTACACATGTTTACTTCTGTCTACCGATTATCTCGTAGATTTGCAAACCAATTAAGATGTGAAGAAGTAATCTCAGAAGACAGACGCATGGTACATCGTATCTTATAACAAGGCCCCTTTGTGACAGTTTATTGACATTTGCACCCAACAAAGCAGGCAGCTTCATCAAAATACACCGATGCCTCCTGCTAGATGATAAATTATTGCCATAATATTAGGATAAATACGTGTGGCAGAGGTTACATTAAGGTGATAGCAAAATCAACTAATTTTGGTAGATGTTGCTCATATATTACAGACGACTTTTGCCGATAAATATTACCCTTGCACATTTGGTCCGGGATGGTTACTTTTAATGTTACGAATGTGTCGTAAGCCAAATCAAAGCTCCCACTTTATGAATATCAAAGATCAGATTGATCAGTACAACAGACTATTATCGCCGCTATTTTAATGATAAGATATTATTCAACGATATATTTCATAGTCATGTGCATTTCTGCCATTTTCCGAGTATCATTCAGATGGCAAGAGTTAAATGCTTTGGCATCTGCCGAGCTCGTTTAAAGTAATTCGATTTGCGTGGGTCAGGGACTCCATTCCCCAAAGAATGTTACGCTTTTGACGGCTTAAAACCCGGGGTATAAACCCGGTTTGCCAGGGTGCTCAGCTAGCGCCTTATCATTACTTGATTTCGATTATTTTACTCAGTACGAGTCGTATTCACTTCAAAATAGATAAATTCTTTTTTGCAAAGGAATGACCTTAAAAGACGCTGTCCCAAGAAATATGAACTAGGTTATGTTCTTGTGATTGTTTCTCTCTGTTATGTAAGTTTCAGTCCAGTACGAAAATTCGACAGTTATGAGCGTTAATGTCTTACATGGTTCCACCATTAAAGAGTGCCGACCACTGGGCGACTTGAAGGAGTTATTCGACTTCAAGTCGTTGTGCTGTCGCTGTACCAGCAACCCACTGCGAAGCATTCACGAGAAACTCCCGAGTCGTTCCCGGGTGTTACTCTGCCATGACTTCAAAGGAGGCTATCTACTAGACAAGTTTGTATATTTTATTTACATACATCATGATTACTGTCAAATACTTTTTTAACTGATGAATGATGTTTACCCACTAAGATGCTTATGAAGCAACCTTGAATCCAAATATGTATGTATAATATATAAGAGAATGTATAAATAGAAAAAAAAATGATCTGTTAACAGAACAGACTAGCAAATTGGTTGGATTAAGCCGTATCGTAGATTGTGTTAAACATCTTCTGACGTAAAAGATGATCTATACCTGCTGAAAATACCTTATTTTTCTTTTTCCTTTTTTTTTTTTTAATCTAAACTCGTTCGTGTATTTGTCGCAGACACCATTTTGATGATGCATCAGAAGTCACCGATCTACCGAACTATTGCGCTTCTCTTGACTACCGATTTGAATACTGGGACAAAATTGATGTGTTTGTTTACTTTTCGCACAACTTAGTTACGATCCCACCCTGTTCATGGATCAAACAGGCACACGCAAATGGCGTCAAGATACTTGGTTAGTCATTTTCGAGGAGTTTGTTAGATACCACACACACACACATGTCTATATATATATATATATATATAAAAGGGGATGGCTAAATACGAACCCGTATGTAGTACGCATCACTATACTGTTTGCCCCCGGCGACCACAAATTGCCGGAAGCTCGTTTGTCAGATCTAATAGTGTATTACGAGCAAGAACTATGTGGCATATAGTTAAAAAATGTGTTCTATCTAAGTTGTACTTGTAAATAATATAAAACGTTTGGGAAAGTCATTGTATACGCTGTGCATTACGCACATTAAAGCCTATTATGTACAGACTTATTTAGCACAATTTCTAGATTTGTGATCTTTATTGCTTTTAGGCACATTCATCATTGAGTGGAAACCGAAAATTGTTGACGAATTGCTTGCACCCAATAATCTTCCAAGAATAATCAAGGGTCTCGTAGAAGTCTGTTTAGAAACCAATTTCGACGGTTGGCTTTTTAATATAGAAGTTGATGTAAGTCTTAAGCGTTTACTTCTTAAAACAAATCGATATCTTTCAGAAGATTTAGGCTGTAGGTTAAGAAAATAGTTTGTGTGGCCTTCACTGTTGTTATATTCTCTGGGTCCATCATTAAATATTCGAGAAAATAAATTATAGCCAATTGAAAATAAGCTCATCTTTCTCGGTCTTTGAGTAAATGGCTGTCGACTAGTCCGATTTTCAGGATAATCATATAGGCAATCCGATTTTTTTTCTCTTCATCGATGTTTTGAAACGTAAAGCTGCTCGCTTGTGTAGTACTACTCCTCTTTCCCTTTTATTGGTAGATTGTTCGTTTTGTTGATACTAGGAGGCTTTATTTTATGGTGACCGCATGACAGAATGGTAGTAACGTGTCAACGAAATTTAGCGTGGCTTAGCTGAGTGTAGACAGCCTTCGATACTCCCGTAATATATCCGAATAGTAGAAAAAGCTACGGTAGCGGGAACTTCTTCCCGTACTTGGTTCCTCAAGATTGTCCCCGCTGCCGTGACCTGGTGCAACTGTATCGAGGCCTGTCGTACAAGTGAGAATCAACTACGTAAGAAAGTAGACATCTCTTGCAACACGCCTATAAATAAACTAATGGTGTACGGTAGACAGATAAATTACTATGACTTTTTTCTTTTCCTACGGATGTTGTATAAACAGATCAATCAGAAACAAGTAGAACCCTTGATTCACCTTGTGCGTGAAGTGCGTGAACAATTGATTCAAGCCAGACCAGGAAGCCTGGTTATCTGGTATGACTCTGTGACAACATCGGGAAAAATCACATACCACGATGAGCTCGTGAAGGAGAACAAGCCATTCTTCGATGTCTGCGACGGTATCTTCCTTAATTATGGATGGTAAGAACAGCGAAGAAGACTATTTAAATATTTTCTTTTTCCTTCGAACTCTACGAACTTAGTCATTGTGATCATTAAACTTGGCGACGCGGTCTATTTCACCTGTCGTTGTTACCGTCTAAACGAAAACTGCTAGACCTTCTTCGATCGTACCTGCGGCAACAGTAGCGTGTGCGCTTTTTGGTTTGTACACATGGAATCGCTTTTTGCCTGTTCGTTGTATATGGTCACATTAGTGTCAGGGTAATCCTGAAAAGATCAACCGCCATATTTCTTGGTCGAGAATTCTTTACTTTATGCACTAAGACAACAATTCCTATTGTTGTCTTAGTGCATCTGGAAAGTGTTATTCAATAACTCCACTGTGTATTCGTCGTTTTCCAAATTATGTCCGTCCGTACAATGATTGTGTAAGTTGGCTTCATTTAGACATAGGTTAATTTCTCTAATCTTTTGCCACGTAACAGGACTAAAGATCAAGTTAAGCGCAGTGAAGCTCTGGCTGGCGATAGAGCTAACGACGTGTACGTCGGAGTCGATGTGTTTGGTCGTAAAACACCTTACGAAGCTGGATTCAACTCACCAAAGGTGAGCTTACGTGCGTGTCGTGAGTGTAGAACTCTAGCATAATATAATAATCCTAGTATACCATAAGACCGCATTGTTGCATGTGAATTTTTTCAAAGTACTAATGACGATAATAATAATCCTGCAGCAAACCAGGCAAATTCTTTCCATGCAGTTTACCACTATGTCCTGAAGGGTCCGAGTTAAGAACGCTAACTTAGTGTGGACGAGCTGTCACATCATAATTGATGTCTTGAAACTAATATGTATATTTCTTCAAATTTTAAATTTGGTGTTTGTTCAAGGTGGCACAAGAGATTCTGTCCAGCTCGTCGTGTTCAGTTGCAATATTTGCTCCGGGTTGGGTGCTCGAATGTAACGACGTGGAGGAATTTACTGTGAACCAGAAGCGATTTTGGGACAAGATGCCGGCTTTAAAGGAAAGCACGTCGGTAGAAGAAAAACAGAGAATTCTTTAATTGAGTCAAAACGCTTCAGGCGGCGTCAGGTTCTTGACGATACATGTAATTTACATTATATCTTTATACTTTGCGAACGTTACTGAAAATTTCACTTTAGCCCATTGCTGAACTATGCAGACGGTGCTCATAAGTCGTGATACTGTGGCTACCACAATTACTAGCGTTTTATAAATTAGCTACGTGTACGATACGTCAAAGTTGAAAAAAATAATGATTTATTTAAAAACAAAGTCGCCTGAATCTAATCTACTCTATCCTGTATTGCTTGAAGTACACTTGAGCCTAACTTCACTCAGTTTATGGCAGCAGCTCAGTTAGTGAAAGGGGTATGTCGACGTTGAGTCCAAGACATCGCTTGTTTAAGTCCGCCAGCGCGCACTTATCTATATTGTCAATAAAGTAAGATTCTTTGGTATCTTCCATATATTTGAAAACTAAGTATCAGTTAGCTTCATTTGAGCCCAATATTATTCCGATGGTTATTCATTAGTCGCCTTAATGATGGCTGCTTTACGCAAGTTCATTTTAGGTGATCAGTGCACTCCCCTTATTCTAAGTATTTCAAAAGTACTTTTATTTTTTTCGAGTGCATGGTAAAGATATTTTGATTATAATTTATAAATGTAGATAGAGAGAATGCCCTGACCTGATCGAATGATATATACATAATATAATCAAGTGCTCTATAAACCTGTTTTATTTTTCATCACTAGTATCTGGTTAAAAATATGAGCGTTTCGAACTTGACAGAGAGACTGAGATAAATCATTTCCGCCAAGTTGTTGATATATATATGCTAGCCCTATGCTGCTGTACAATAAATGACAGCATCTGAATTCGAACTGAGTAAACTGAACATTTGTCTTACTTAGTAATGCCATATATATGCTTTGTAGTATCACAATGCCGAAAACTAAGGCCGGACATTCTGTATTGTGTATGTGATATTTTCATTTTATATTAGACAGCAGGAGGCGAAACACATAGGCTTTAATAAAGTGTTGATGTACCTTTAGATAGCATCTGTTCATTTAGAGCAAATAAATATCTCTCTATTCGTGGCAGGTATTTTTTTGCATTTTATTAGCGCCCTCGAATGTATCTGCACGTAAATTAGCATCAAGCTAAATTTACCTGAGAGCAGAACGAGTAATAGGGTCATGGCCATCAATCAGATGGTATGGTGGACACCAACAACCTCATGATCAACAGATGCACGTGACGCCAAATGAAAATCGCCTCTTTGACGAATCAAATGTTGAAATGTATGCACAGCATGACATAACGCAGCAAAAGAAGCATCTGGTCAGAATAGGCTTGTTGTAAAAACCTAAGTCGATACCTGGCATCTTCGCCTCCCTATTCAGTAAGTTTGTTCCAGTAAATTCTTGTTAGTTCTGAATTGAGTTAGCGCTGGACGTGTTCTGAGAGAATTCTGGCGCATTGACAACAAGGTAAACAAGTTATTTGCGACTTGTATTGTGAACCCGCAAGGCGAACCTTATCGTAGGTCTATCCAATAGTTGGATGGCATTAACAGTTGTCGGCGCGATTTTTAGATTTGAAAATTGGAACAGCTTTGACAAACAAGAATTTGAAAGGATTTTTGATCGAGTCATCTCCGACAAAAGCCGTTTGAACCCGTTCATTTACGTATCTTAGTGTTGCGACTTTTACGTGCGGTGTTGCCGTCAAACATTCCATCAGGCAGATGGGTGGTTCTCAATACGAACTGAAGTCTGTGGGTCTATGCCCAGGTTCGAATCTAGACCAGTAATGTGTCTCTATGAGTAGCAGGCAAATACGTCACTTATTAGCCTATTACGGGAAATCATTTACACGTCTGGAGAGTGATAGTCCATTTAGGGTGAATGTGGCCTTCAGGTAAGGAAAACACCTCACACATTTGATATTGTCGTTTTGCATTTGTGCTGAAGTAGCAAGACGGCTACGTATTATTTCGGTTTTGGGAATTGTAATTTAATAGTAATAGGAGCTATGGTTGACAATTATAGATTTATTACAGTTGTAATTGGTAAGTATGTGGCAAGGCTAGTGAATTACTGCAATACACTAGCAGAACATATCCTTGTACTGGTGCATTTTCAAGGTCCTGAAGTGTCACGGGGAATAGCATGAGCTTAAAACTTAAGCTTTAAGGATAAAACTTATCTTGAGGAAACCTAATTGTTTGACCAAATTAAGGGTATTCAGAAGGCCCTATCGTCTGAAGTGACAAATTCTTTGACACTGAATTCTTTACTACGCGCTACAGTACACCTAGTAAGCTAGGTTCGACCGAGTTTTATTTCGTGAGGGGAAGTCAGATCAGCCTTAGAACCTGCAAATTCTCCAGAAGTAGCCGAACCGCGTTATGACACTGTTCGCTCACTTTCTTTTAGATGAACTCCACGTCAACCAATTGTTAATTTTGCATATCCAGATCGATTCTATTTTACGAAGGAGGCTCAGGACAGGCATTTTGAACAGTTATCAAGCCTACGTGTTAGCAGCAATTTGTTCACACGCTCCTTTCAGCGATGCCTCTACGTGAAAAGCGGTTGAAAAGTTTTTCGATCTCTAGATTTTTGTTGAGCAGAACGATTACGCATGGTATAAGATTTTAGCTGATTATTTTAGACAATGAATAATCCACTAATACTTTTTGTTTCTTTGTGGGTATCTACTAGCGAATTTGGGATCACCCGACGTGTCCAGCAATTAATCAGGCATGCTATTTTCGAATCCCTGCGAGCTCAGTCTGATGGCAATGTCCATAGTAAATCCAGAAGTCTTCTCTTCTCAGGCCAATTCCTTCTTAGTCATATTTCATGTGCTAAGACACCTTAACCCATTAAGACTGGAATTAAGCTTCGCTAATCATGATAAAATCTGTCATACAAAATTTTGAGAATCGTACATCTGACTTTTCGGTGTTTAAGAATATATTTTAGATACTTAGACAAATTTGGGGGCTTTCTAACGTCACGCAATTTTTTTTCTAAACAAATAAATAACTCTTGTCGGAGTTTCTTAGCGTATTCGAAAACATAACTACATATCCTAGGATCGCCATGTTGGTCTTGTCATGTACAAGATCATCTGATTCAAGTGCGATTGGCTGGCGCTGTGATCTTTTCATACAGAATTGGAATTTCAACTGATGTCAATCCCGTTCATTTGACTTCTATTAAGTATTTGTAATATATCTTCACCGCTAAATATCGTATAAGATTTACACTACAACTTTAAAGTACAACAACTGCCAAAGAACAGACGCAGTTGTCTCACGCTCTCTTTTCTACAGTATGTTCTCATTACAGACTCATTTATGTAGTGTTTGCTATGCGAGACTGACTTTGCTAAGGTTCTACCGTTTGACCTTGGGGTATGAAGAACGAAAGCATCAGGACACAAGGTTTTCTATTTGGGCTATGCTAGACATACGTAAACGATAACAATGGGCAAATGATTGTACAGCGGTCATAATCCCGGGTCAGCATGACTATTAAGCAGCTCTCTGAGTACTTCGTTGTACTAAGTGTGAATATGGGCATGTAGGCGATCGCTGCTTCAAATCTCAGCATTGGCAGATAATGAAAATCATTTATGAAATCGTTGCGTGTTTACTTACTAAGCTAAGAAAGTGGTTTAAGTTCGAAAACAGGAGCAGGGAAACACTTTGTTGCGTGCTGCAAGGGGTAAGCCGCCTGAAGCAATGTCAATGCAAAAGAGCAAGTGTTAGACTCCAAACGTTTATTATTTAGGTTTGTTGAAGGAGTTGAAGATTTCCTCTGACTATGTTTGTAGCAATACTGAAAGGCGAGGTCAAAGGCATTTCTTTATGGAAGGAAAAACTGAGGCTCAACTTACGACAACACATAACGTTGGAGTCGGAAAGACCCTGGAAAGACTTTTTTGCGCCTGACAGAGAGTCTAATTCGAGCAGGTAGGTACGTTCATTACTACGGCCAGAGAATTCAGTTTTACGATAACTGCGCGAAGCTGTATCTATGTAATTGAATCCATAAGATAGAGGCTTTGTGTATAGCTAATTTGTATGTAATGCATTTTCAGGACGAAATGTGTATCTTTCTATACCTAAATATGTGTTTTTTAATAGCCTAAGATGAGAACTACAATTAGTATTGATGTCAACGGCAGACACGAATAATATAAGGACGGGAACTCCATCGCGCCTGTGAATATTTGATACAATTGCTGTGAGTCGAGGTCCTTCCGAGACTGGGCGGACAAGTTTATGAGCCATTACCAGATTAATATATAAATAAAAGATAACACACTACTTCCAGTTATAGCTAATCGCTCTTAATAAGGAACGGCCAACATTTTGGAGAAAAGAATCATTTATGTAACAACCAGCGGTGCAAGCAAATGGTAAGCGGTCATACTCAATTATTTACAACCAGTGATCAATTTTTTCGACAATACGTGCATTTGCACAAAACATGCAATCTAAAAGAGGCACATTTCTCGATAACACAACTATCACATGTAAATGAAAGACCAGATGTGGATCATACCTATATTGTTGATGTATTAATGGCATGAGCGAATTAACGAGCAGCATGCATAAAATCTTATCATGTGTCTACTAGACATACAGGTGCGATTTTATCCTAGTCTTTTTCCGCTAACGAAAAACACTCGATGCCTTTGTTGACTTCTGTGTTGAAGTACTGAGGTTGCTACTATATTCCTAGCCATTAGCAAATTAACAATTCAAAACTGAAGCACAAACGCAGGCAACCGCAAGATTCATAGTTGTGGTTTCAGTACAATAAAAATTTCAAAGCTCGATAGATTTTGGGCTTGTCAAAAACAAGCCTTGTCCATGTATGTCCATGAAATACGTTTAACAAACACGGAACTATCGTAAATTATGGAAAAACTCTTTTTTTCTGCTCTATTTTATGATTACTCTATTTCTTTCGTTCGTTTAAGCTCTGTCGGCCATCTGTGTATGGCGCCCTTGTCGCCAGCATACGTGAGGTCAACTTGGCTTCCGGCCCCTTTATCGCTTCCTAGTTACTAAACATTATGCTATTGTGGAGAGGGGTACTTCGAGAGGCCGAAGTATTCGTAACTCCCTTCGCTAGCTGTGCTGTGCTAAGGATCGGTCTGTCCTACGAATTATGAAAAACCATACCGAGTTAAGGTATCACGCTTGACTGTTCTGATTAGTTACGTCGTTTTCTACAACGATTACCGTGAGAACTGCTTATTTTTTTTCCCTCTGCATTCCTGTGTTATCTATGCATGCCTTAGTTTCTCACTTGAGTTTTTAAACTAACTTATTGATTTGTAAATTCGGTGCGCTTTTTACCTGAACAGACAAACGCTTTGAGCGTACTTTTTTTTAGGTGCGAAAACTCCACTTAGATGTAAAAATATATAGATTACGTGCCATCTTATCGAACAGCTGAACTTTCTGCATCTTCCGACGGTGGCTGACTTCTGTGCTATGCACTAGAAAATGCAAATGAATTTCAACGAGCTTATAGAGTTATACGGTTGGGCATTTGTTGAAACATTAGCGCTTTCTAGAGGATATACAAAGGCAGTTTACATATTATATTCAACAATTCGTATTATGAAGCTCAAAGCGCGCGCTTCCTGTAGCTGTGTTATACCAGCTTAAAATTATGTTATTCAGATTAAAATTGAGGAATAAGATTCCTCAAGCGATCAGTACTCAGTCTTGTACTTCGTTAGTATACAGTGTTGTTATCATGTTAAAAACCTTAAATTTGTTTGTGAATATTGTAAGTGATCAAAGCTGTAAGTGGTGTAAGCATTTTAACTGTGGCGGCCATATATTCAAGTTATTTTTTGAGTAAAATTATGTTATATCTTTAAACGTATAAAAGTTAATATAGTAATAGATTAGAATACGGCAAGATATATTTTAATAATTTTTGTTAAGTAAGCTTGGGTCGACGAGGAAATATTGACTACAAATTTAATAGAAAAACAAATTTTTATCTTCAAAATTAAAAAAAAATATGTAGAAGAAATCTATTATAAGAGCTTAGATTATGCGCGCTAGGAAACAACAATATCGAGTTCCACATAATTGTTCAGCACTGAGTACCAACGTCGTTGCAAGATGAAACCCTAAGCAACGCCAGACTTCATCACATTTCAATTGCATCTTTTCACTCTGTTTCACTAATCCTTTTATCTTTACTAAAAAGTGCTTGTAAACTAAACTAGGCTAAAACTTGATGATTTGTATCTTTGTTTCAGGCCAAACATATGCACGCGCTACTGCCGCAACAGATAGAGATATTTTGTAGAGTTCGGGTTCACTGACACTCTCATTTTTTTCCCAGATGAGAGCCCGCCGTCTTCAGATTGTTCGCGTTATACTTCGCTACTTTAAATAGAAACGGTGGAACTTCATATATCTTTAAATATAGTAGAGTATATGTATATATAGATGTCTGTCACCACGCAAACTGCAATGCAGCCGAAGCCGGCTCATCTCCCGGTCCAGACCGTCCCGACTGTGAAGAATAGGCGTTATATAGCCATCGATAGTAATTATAGACGCTCTACGACGTCTTTCAATAAAAAGCAAATAGTAGTGGATGTCCCTATACCACATAAGTCTGCACAACAAGTAAATATAACGAACACTCTCGGAGGAGTGCCCGCTGTTAGGATAACACGTATTGTGCAAAATACTCAGACATGTCCTCCGAAAGTGGTCCCAATAGACGAAGCCCTGAAAGCGATGGAAGCGGAAAGCGCTCCAGTAACAGCAGGAGCGATGACCACACCGCCACATCAACGAAACTTTGTCATTCTGCAATTTAAGCCAAATAAACAAAGTCCTCAAATAGTGGATAGCGGCGAAAATGTGACAGAGAATTACGGGGGACCTGTTCGAAAATCCTTAAAGCACGTCAGATTTGCTCCGGTTGTAGCTAAGCAAGTGAAGCCAGTGTTGTTGCCACAAGAAGTTCATTACGAACATGCAGAGAAGCAGTCAAAGTTGTCATCGTTTACTAAGGTCTCTCAAAGTTTCTCACTAGGACCACAGGCTCCAACACATGTGGCCAGTGCTCTCAAAACGATTAATGGTCCAGTTGCAACTAGGCCACTGGCTGTGAGCTGTCAAAAGTCATCTGTAACAGCTGGGCCCTCATCAGTCCCTCGAGTGCCGCGAGAAATGGCCAACGCACTTCAGCGAACGTTTGCACCTGACTATGGACGACCTAAAGCTTGTCCTGTAAGCGGTAAGTGCTGTGATTAAGCGGAAAAAAAACTATCATTAATATATGCATGCATGAACCAATGAGATATTTAAATGTTATTGACTTTAATGCACCACTCATACGTGATACGAACGTCTTCCACCATCCAATTTAGCCATCATTTAATTTAAATCTGCTTTGCTTAAACATTATACCATTATGTATACTTCAGACCTTGATCCATCGTACGTGGCTCTTCAGCTCGCCCGGTTCATAGACGAATCAGAATACGCCAGCTTGTAATGGGTTCTCAGTGTTCTGTGGATAAACCATTAGCTCTCTCTCTCTCTCCCACTGCCCTGTACTTCTACGATCCAGCCATCGTTTTCCGCTGGCTTGGTGAAGCGGGTCATGCTGGCAAAAAGCTGAAAGTAAGAAAAACTTTTTGCCAGAAAACAAAAGATAGCATCAATCCATGAAGGCGATTGCTTCTAATCAACAGCATGGATGATGCCGGAAAATTTCAAAGCAACAAGTACTCTCGTACAGAGAACACGACACACAACACAAGTCAACTCATCTGATACATAACAAAATAGAAACTTTTTTACACAACCAAATATTTTCGATCCTTAGGTAAAATTCTACCTTGACATTGGCACCGTATTACAATGTGTACTGTTAATAATAAATAAATATAAAACAATAAAACATACAACTTGCTCTACTTTGCAAGAGTAAGAATACTGCAAATCTTTGATAGAATTGCAGCAAGTTTTGCGTGTAAAACAATTAATTGTTTGTAAAAATGCTCTAAGTGATAGCATCAGTATGTTAACGAAGCTTTATAACAACTTACTTTTGCCATTAAGACATCCCAAAATTATTTTTTTGTTATGATTTTGCGCACGAATGCTTATCTGTATAGAGGCTAACTGTAGATACATATAAGCATATTTTAAGCATCCGGTTGGCTATATAGTAAACACTAATGATAGATTCAGTTATGCTAAGAAACAAGCTCAATTTTTCCTTGATTTGAAAAAACGGTACATAATAAATGTAAATGAGTGAAAATGGGCGTAAGTAAAAAAAAAAAGTGAAATCAAGACCCTCAAACTGCGAAGCGGAGCTTTTCAAACTGTTACGAAACTTCCGCCTTACACTGTATATAGTACGCTGATATTGTAATTCATTTCTTGTATTAATGTAGGCAAATCTTTCACTTGTCTAGAAGGATTTTACCTCAAAACGTGTAGGTTCAAGTTTTGATCCTAGCACACATCGTTTAGTTGTAATTAATTTGTTTAATGAAAATAATTACAGGTTGTGTATCGTACTTGAAGCAATAAATGACACTACCACTGCAAAAATGTAGAAGTCAAGCTAGGATTTTAATGAAAGTAGGCTTATGTTACACTGAAAAAATTCGAAGTATATTTTGATAGCATACAAACAATATAAGGTGATATTTATGCATTCAAACGAACCGGATGAGAGCTGCATATTTTCTCAATTACGTTTCAGTCAAATATTTTTATTATATAAATATCAGCCCCGAGCTTGGGTTGACACCCATTACCAAAGCGACTGAACTGGTTTACTTAGATCTATTCTATTAGGTGTTAAAAAGGAGCGAGGCCTGTTCCTTCAATAATCTGCTTTTTATTACACTAAAGAAAATACCAGGACCAAATCATTAACACTTGCTACTTGACATGAGAAGGTGACTGGCGAATCTGTATAGGGTAGCAGCGCAGGATATTTTGCGGCCCAATTCTATAGGATTTGTGTTCGGTTAGCCCACCGTCAGAGTCAAGTTGACGGCCTGTAATAGTGATTATTACTAGAATAAACAACTGTGATACTGATAAAATGCCTTCCAAATTTACATAATACAGTTACCGCATTATATGCGTAGGCCGTTTTAGGAAATAAGCAAATAAATAGACAATGTTATGCATATGAATTTTTTTCTCGGTATTCTTCTTATGAGCGTGTTAAAATAAAGATGCTCTATTTATTCCATTCCAGCCAGCAATTAAATGAAGAAACTCTTTAGAATTTCGTTTTATTAGCTATAATCGTGTCGCCTATCCGAACGTAGTTCAATCTACTAACACCATCTAGTAACATTTGTCTTCTTAGTCTGCTTAATATTTTGAAGAGAAGGTAACTTTAGCCAATGATATTACAACCATTCTTCCTAGAAATGCTTCGTTTCGAAATTCCCGTACACGCTGTGTCTTTTCCTCATTACTATAGCAATTTTAAAAAGCAGTTATCTCTCATGCTTGTTACGTTAATTTCGGTATTTAAAGCGTCCGCAATGATAAAATGTACCATAAACACTGACTGTCCTATTGTTCCTTTAATAATGATGATTATAGTAAATTCCATGATGTGATTTGGCATACGTTCGTCGCCATATGATTAAATACTGGACAGTTCTACAGATGGTGACAATATGTTTAATCGTAGATAACTAATACGTATAACATTACAGCAATAGTATTTGACCCAAAGAAAGTACTGAACAGTCTGCCAGCGCCCAGCCCCTCATGGTCTATAAAACAGATACGAACAGACATTTATCGAACTAAGCTAAAAGCAGTAACTAAGCTCAGCCAAATGTTACGTCCTTAATCGTGAATGATTTATGATTACTTCAACAAAGTACAACTGTACCGACGGAATGCGATAGAATGCAGCCCATCATTGAAATGTACCTCCGTCTTCCTAACTCTCGCAAGCAAGCACTACTGTGACTACGTAATGCATCGTTTAGGTTTATCACTCGAGATACAAGGATTGATATATGTATATGCGATGCGCGCATCCCGTTTTACGCACTCAAGTAGCGGCTTGTGTTAAGCATCGTAGGTATTAGAGGGCAGTAACGTCATCCAGCCCGTTGAGGTCAGAGTGGTCTTTGAGGTTTGCGGAGGCCGAGACATTGATTGAGCCTGAGACTGACCAATGGTCGGGAGTGCCTTGCAAACGCTTGTCTGCATCGGCAGTACCTGCTGCGTATGGTTACTCACACCGCTCTGTACCGACGGAAACTGAGAGTGCATCTGGAGAAACATGTGTGCAGCCTCGGTATGTCGACGCAGTTCCACCTTACGTTGAAATGCCATACCACAGAAGAAGCAGGCAAACGGCTTGAATCCGGAGTGCTTCCTTGTGTGGGTGATAAGATTGGAGCTCTGCGAGAATGCCTTTCCGCAGACGACGCATCGGTGAGGTTTCTCTCCTAAAGAAAACATCAAAAGTTATGCAAATTCGTAACGTTTCGAGCGATACAAGGATAGCAATCGGCATAATATCACGTAAGAGAACAGATAAAATATGGCAGGATATTTTGCAGGCTCCCGAACCTTTCGATTCGTTAAATACTCTTGATTTTATAAAACATTAGTAGACAAAAATAGCGATATTTTATATATATATATATATATATATATATTGCATATCTAATATCTGTAGTTAACATCTCGCATCTTGAGGGCTAACACTCTAGTATAATAAACGAGGTTTACGAACGAAAAACAGGCAAAGCATCGATCAGAGAAGCTAACGGAGTACATTCAACATGCATCTAAAATTTAAAAAACATGAATAATCCTTACTTTATTCAGTTAGCGGTAACCGATAGCTGGCTAGATCTCAAGTTTCCTTATAACATGCATGTAATCGGGTGCGTATCGAGTGTTATACACACAGAACAACCTCATTAAGCACATAAGGTATACAATTAAAGATGGTATACAACGGACGGATAATTAAACTGAACATAATTATAATGCTGTGAATGAACACCTGTATGAATGTAGGTATGTTTCTTCATATCGGACTTTTGATGAAATCGCTTTCCGCAGTAGTCGCACGGGAATGGCCGTACATCGGAGTGAATGAGTAGGTGAGTGGACAGCGTCGATGACCTTTTGAATTTTTTTCCGCATTCCGAACAGCCGAATAATCTCTCCTCCTAATGATAGTGTTGATACAGGGTCGAGAAATAAAGATGTGAAAAGTACAAAAACAGTATATAACACGATGTTCATATCCAAATTAGACGTTAGGCGTTACTAAGCTTCTCTTTTGGCTTTTTTCATAATATCTCGTTGTCTCGGTGATCCAAGGTCTTGAATTTCTTCATGGACGCTGTGCTGATTTGAACGAACGCTACAGCATTTTAGACGCGTGGAATTTGCCACTGTTAGATGTTTCTGGCTACCACCAGGGACGCCGTAGTAATTAGGTCTTCGCTCATTTCACTGATCAGATGGTCAGCCGAATTCAATACTGTCTATTATGAAAGGTGAAAACTTTCCGACGATAAGTTGCTGCTATTTAGGCTACTGAATTACTTGAAATTCGCTTGATAGGCAATATTGGATTCGCCTTTAATATAGATCGTACGGCATACGTAAAGAAAACCACAGGTTGTCAATAAATGTCAAAACGTCTCACCGGGCGACATGCGCATTTAATGATAATTAACAAGTCTCTGTAAATATGAAGTTGGCACCACATCGATTGTGTGATTTTTATTTTAGTCCACCACTCGAAAAATGACGATTTCTCGGCTTTCCTTCCCACCGCTTTTTATAAATAGCAATAATTCTAGAAACAGTTTTCATGTGATTGAAATAACCAGTTGGAACCAATTTAGCTCCTTGAGAACCCAAGTGAAATACAGTAGGTACAATAGTTTGCTCAATCCTGCAAAGTGTGCCCACCTTTTTTTCAATCTGTGCTGTGACTTCGGCTGCGGACGTGACAAATCCCGCAAGTCCAAACCTGGTCGCGTGATATAGCTGGTACGCTACGGCGGCATGAGAGGTCAGTCGTTCTACTTCCGCACGGAACATGCGATCGAGCTGAATCACGTTGGCGGCGCTGAGAGTTACTGACTCTCCTGTGATGAAGTTGATCAGAGTAAAATCGGTGAATGGCCTTATGAATACAAAAATTCATGCAAATACTTTCTGAGGTCTTAACGTCTCTCAGCATGAGCGTGCTTTAATTAGTTCCCAACTAATCGAGTTTAGATGATACAGTCCTAAGATTATGCAAAACACATCTACCACATCTGACGAACAAATTCGTTATGGCATATTTTAACGGTTCGAAGCGACCCTACACAATTTAATCTTGGTCTGAAAAATATCGATACTATCAAAAATATAGTGATACATACGAACCATACTTAGTGGGAGTTCAGAGTGTTAACTTTAACGAATTACTGGGAAAACCTAAAAGCGAGCATTGGCTGCCTCGCTGACCTAGCCCTGCCCCAATTCAGTCGAGGCATCGTTACCAGCGAGCACCGAATCTGCCACTTGTCCTGCCAAGATACCTACACCTATATAATGGGCATAAGTTTATTATAATTATTATATATATCCAATATGACCTGTTATATGCCACATTAGCACTGAGTTGGCAACGTCTGATGCCCAAGCAAATACAACTAAACACAATGTAATGCAAAAAATAAAATTACTGGATCGCCATTTAAACCGCATGTGAACTGCGTACTGAGGAGTCATTCAATGACTCTGTATTCTCACTTCGTCACTTGATATGCACTAATAACGTATAGACATAATAGATGGTTCATTGATTAAAGCTCTTTTAACGCGTAAGTTAGATGTTATCTAGGTATCTACTTGTAGCTTAGTTAGAACCTACGAAACGTACATAATCAATGAAGACAGCATTGACGGTCAGTAGTTGATGAACTGACCACTGGATTTATATAGAAAATAGGGATCTCGTTTTGTTTTAAGACTGAATTTGACTGAGCATGTTTTTACGTCATATAATCCGTTTAGAAATAATTTTTCTAAGCCTGATCATTTTATTTTCTTAGCTCATAGATAAATACAGTTGAACTGAATTGTTAGCTATATAAATTACATAGTTAGCTATGACCATAACAAGGTGAACTGTGTTTATTCTACTATATATTGTGTAGTCAGAGAGTCTTATGTAAGGACAATAGAGACAACACGCACACATACACGACATCAAGTGAAAAGTTGTAATTTATTTAAAGACGGTTTTTCTATCGAAAAACGCTTGTACGTTGCAAGCGCCGAAGTCTACGCTGTGCTTGCGACCAGAAGAACTACGCAGGAGATAAGCGATCCTTTGCCCTTAAGCGAGCATAACTACCTGTATACATGTATATATGAAGGATTCCTACTAAAAAGGCTTAAGTCAAAAAATATAATAATTCGTTGTATTAGAACTACTAGTGAAATCAAACTGCATTTTTAGGCTAAAATGCTAGACCTTTTTCCTGTACCTGTGCAACAGTAGCATACATTTAAACCCTTTCGATTGAAAACCCCCAAGCGTGCTAAGGTTTATCTTGTTTTTTAGCTAACCGTTTGATCGCTTATATTGCAACTTTTCCAAGATTTGCCATTAGATATGGAATTAATTGAGCAGTGACAGCCGCTCGGTCTCAACATCACATGTTGAGTTAATAACGTCTCATAATAATGACACACAAAGCTTTAATCATATTCAGACGTAATACACCTTTATTCGTTCATCCGGCTCATTTATTAGGCCGTAGTTCAATCGACTAAGTTGGCAATTTGACCACCTTCGCTAGCTACTCATGCAATCTCAGCGTGCGCATCCTGGATCCATGTCTGTTCTTTCTACTGTGCTATAACTTCAGATAGAATCACTAAGGATTTTTACCTGCTAAATAATTTTTTCGAAATTGTCGTACATAATATGCAATCTCGTATGTGACGTCGAGTTAAGTCTTGAATCTATATCCTTGTTGAATTTATTCTGATTGGAGAAGTGAGAAAACAACAAAAGAACCGTACAAAATAAATTTGAACTCACTCTACTGCAGGTTTCAAATGATCACGTTGAACAACAAGTCGGCAACGACACAGCCAACATGACCACATGCAGGACCTTTTTAGGTAATGGCGTGCGTCGTATATCGTTTTCTTGCTTGTATGTCTATTGTAAGCTTTCATCCTGGTCTTCTGCGCTTATAGGGGTCTATTGCTCATTTTGCACATACTTCTTTTCAATATTTCTGTTTACTCCACCTTTGTATTCTACTTGCGACTTCTGCCTCTTAGATACATTTGAACATTCTATTTTCGTAGGGAATTGCTCCTGTGCGGCAGTTCCGCTCGAAAGCACTTCGATCTTTATGTAAGAGCCACCCGAAAAACATCATCGGAGCAAGAGTCCAGCAGAAACTTATAAACCCGGTTCTTGGTATTGCCTTGGAGAACTCATAATAGCCGGTACGGGCGGACTGGAAACGCTGCATCGCCGGATCAAAGATGAAACCTGTTGGTTAGCAAACAAAGTAATAGCTTAACAAAACACACTGGGACACTTGAAATCCTTGTCCTAACGGACATTATTTTTATGTGCTGGCTACGGTTCACTGGAAATGTCGGTAAAAGCTGAGTACGAGCCACAGCTAATAATAGAAGGAGCATAATATATAATATTCCAATTTTTGATCAAGCTTTTTGGTTTGCTAATAGTATTTGAATCCATCCCGCTCATTAACTTAGCAATATTGAATTTGAATAAACATAAATAGATCATTCAAAAAGATAAGTACAAGCAATATGCTTTTTTAACAAGTGCGTAGTTCTCAGTTGTACGTTCTTTTCCACTAACTTATACAGGAAACATATATATACATATATAT